GTGGTTTTGTGTATTTGTAAACTAGCTTATAACTCGGCCCTTTGGCCGGAATGCTCATATTTGATTATTTGTATTTTTATGTTACTTTTAAGTCTATTAACCCGTTTAATCTTATTGATAATCATTCGATCGAGATGATACATAAAGAAATAATATATATGTCGAAGATTCGGAGAAATATCATAATCATTTAAGAATATAAAATATAAAAATGTTTCATTGACCCCATTTTCATAATGCTAATTAAGTCTCTGTTAAAATGCTATTGGTTAGTTTTCTTTTACAGTCAAGAAATATAGAGTATAAAAGCTCACTGAAATTCTCACACAACCCATAGATAGTTTGAAACTAAATCTTAAACCTCACAATCCTATATAAAGGGTTCAATGCTCTCCTTTTAGAAACAATATGTCACTAATCAAAAAGAAATGGAGAGTTGTTGATTCAAGTCATCTATATAGTAAAAACTCAGCTAAGAGGGGACCATCACAACTTGAGAGCAAACGAAAAAATCAGGGTTATCTCCAATATACGAATAGACTCGATCAAAGTAATAAGGCGCAAAATTAGACACTCCTTATATATTAGTTCCAGTAGGTTGAATAAAGAAGCGACCTATTTCAAACAATCAATCAATGATTCCTCGTTTTAAGATAGAAATAGGTTATGACAGTTGCAAAAATCATAAACATAAAGATCCAATAGCCACCACTCTCCGTTGTACAACCAAATTTCTATCTCAAGAGGCATATATTCAACCAAAAATTCAATTTCTAATCTTCCTTCTACAACTTCAGTCATTGATGAACTCCATTCTATTCGCCATGAATTGATATCGGAGTTGAAATCTTCTACTCGCCCAGCTTAAAATCCCCAACAATAAAACCGTAGTGCCAAGAGATACCTGAAGATTGATTTTCAATGACAGTCTTGTACTGGGAAGTGAAAGGCGCAAACTATTGCACGATGGATGAAATTTCGGAGGAAGTTATAAAGAGAAAAGAACAAAGATAAAAAAAACACAAAATTTAAATTTAAATTGAAAAATGCAAGGATATAACAGTAGTTACATAATTAGTTTCTTCCATGTTGGCCAATTACCCATTTACCTTTAGCAAAAATTAAGGAGAGAGCGAGAATTTAAATTTGTGAAAATTACATGAAACTCTACTGTGAAAATAGAAGTATCAAGCTCGATAAAAATAAATACGGTAGACTTAGTGAGCTTGCTAATTATGATAAAAAGTCCTCTGGTTTTCAGAGATTAACTTTGTCTATTTTTTTTATCAAAAAGAATGCAATAAATTTGTTTAGTGTAACTGGTTGTAATTGTTATCTTTGTTTGAAGAGACCCAGGTTCAAACCTTGATATTGCTATTTTTATATGAAATAAATAATAAATGTGTAAAGACAAAAATGACATTCCTACTTTCACTCTCGTTGCAGGAAATTTGAAATGGAAAAAAGTACACAAAACTCTACCATATATTAATGGAGATATCTTGTTGAGTTTCGATCGCACTCTGTTTTTATGGTGGGATAATGAGATATGAAAGTGGGGGTGGCAAGTTGGTCCTGTTGGAGAGGTTCAGGAGAATTTCAGCTGGCCACTCGACCGTTTAGTTGTCCCGCTCTTGAATGAAGAAAGGGCCACCGAGCCATGAGTCATGAATGTGATCTCTCCATCCATCAACTTCTGTGCTGCTGTCCCAAACAAATACTGGTTTGTCTCGCTTGGCGACAAAAAAAAACAAAAAAAAAAACTGCCAGTTTGTGCCCTAGCTCCTCTCGTGCCTGCCAACTGACGAGTCGGTTTCACTAAGCTGGACAACATATACTGATATTAAGTATTAACCCCACCACAAAAAAAAAAAAAAAAAAAATGAAAGATTTCTCAGGCACACATCAGTTTTGTTTTTTCTTCACAACACAATCTATAGGAAGGTGTTCACTAGCTCGTCGGTTCGAGTGCACGATCAACGCGACTGAACACACTTGTGAATTGGTTTTCTCAAGCACCCTGTGTGCGCGGCATCATTAGTCTGGTTGACTGCACTTGTAATGGTAGAATACGCTATTTTATAAGAAGATCTATGTAATTTTACGAGTGAGATGGACGGAATTTGTATGATGGCAAAAATACGATATTTGGAAGCAATCAGGTTTGCCAAAAATTCATCCATTCAAACACAACTTGCACTCGGAGTGTCAAGTAACTTTGTTTATAAGCTAACCATAATTTATCACCATGGTGTTTAATGAATCATATGAATAACCTACGTTGTTATGAGACTTCAACTGCTGAGCGGGACCAAACATGGAGGTTCAACTGCTTTAGCTCTTTGGGCCCTCCACGAGGATCTTCATTAAATGCCTTTGGGATCACTATAACGAGTCTCGGCGAGTGTCGAACACGGGATCTGCCACTTCGCAAAAGTGAGTGCCAACTAAAGGTTTCACCGTTAGACTATGTGACCTTTGACCTTTACTTTTGGTTGAATTTACACAAATATAAACTTTGTATTGACGTTTTGAAAAAAATCGAGCAATTTAGGCAAATATATTGTCTCTTTAATTATTCAACCTAACATCTTGTAATAAAACAATTTATCCCACGAGGAACACGAAATACTATAAACAATGTCACCTATACTAGAATCTTGGCTGTATTGGTTATGGTGGCTCGTCAACATAAGCACAACCTTCCATCTATCATTTATTTTTTCTTTTAAGAAACAAAAAAGTAGTTGATTTAGTCGTAGGTTATGTAATTGTCTTCTATCAAGTATCAATAGAGTTTGTCCTTTTACCATAGCTTGTACAAGTCTATGATAAATTCGAGCAAAAAAGAAAAATAAGTTATTCACCATTCAAGTATGCGGGCTTTTACCAATGGGTCGACTAATTGTGTTATTTGACACACTTAATTCATATGCACACTTAATTATTTCGAGTTTGATACAGGTTTCGATTTGTTTCAATTTGGGCGAACTAGGTAAGCAAATGGATCTATTTGAGTACAAACGATTGTATACACAGAAATAATATATCGACTATCTAATCAAATGTTTCAACTCAATTCACACATAAAATGTTTGTGTTTTCACATTTGTTATTGTTTCTTAATAAAAAACAATTACACGAGAATCGGATACCCAATATCATGGATCTTATTTCTACCCAAAAATAATTTAATTTGGTCCATAATAAATTGAACTTTGAACAATACCAAATTTTGGGTCTTGTTTGCCATCCTTAGCATAGTCCTTGAGCTTTCAATTCTAACTAAAATAACCGCATATGAGATAAAGTTGAATTAACATACATTTTTAAAGCTATTTTGAAAAGGCAAAAGACACCCGCATAGCCACAACTTTTCACTTTGTGCCAACAATAGCCAAATTTTGAGAAAGTCGCGTTTTTGAAACTTATTTGCACAATCTAGCCATTACCGTTAAATTATTTAACGCCTTTAACCTCTCCGTCAGTTTAGTCGATGGTATGCTTACGTGGCCGCCACATGTCCTACACCTATTTGCCACGTAGCCAAACTATTGCCACCTATTTAACACGTCATTATCTAAAATTTAAAAAAAACATTTTCCCTATAAAAATCCCTAACCTCACCCCTGCTGCGAACCCCTTTTCACGATTCTAATTTCCCTTCTTCCTCGCTAGGTTTCCGCCGCTGCTCCGCGATTTCTCTTCCCCCGACGACGCTCCTCTTCCTCGACCTCTCCCCCGACGTCTCTTCCCCCGACAACGCCCCTCTTCCTCAACCTCTCCCCCGACGTCTCTCCCCCGACGACGCCTTCTCCCTCGACCTTTCTCCCCAGAAAACGCCTCACTCCCCCGACTTCTCTCCCCCTGACGACGCCCCTCTTCCTCGACCTCTCCCCCGACGTCTCTTCCCCGACGACGCCTTCTCCCTCGACCTTTCTCCCCAGACGTTTCCCTCCCCGTCGACGCCCTTCCCTTTCGACAAAAATTGCAATCATGTCACAGAGGATTGGGAGTGGCAAATCGGTCAAGGTGGGTGATTCGGGTTCAACAAGCGTAAACAATTCAAGGCTTGTCCAGTGCTTGCATAAAAAACCTTGTGTCGTTCAAACCTCCGGAACTGATCTGAATCCAAGCCGGAAATTCTACGGCTGTCCTTATTGGAAGGTAACAGAAGCATATTTGGATTACTCATTTGGTTCGAATCATATGTGTGATGATTACAGATGGTTTGACAATGCAGGATCCGAAGAAGAACTGCGATTATTTTAGGTGGGTTGGAACTAATGGTGATGATTTTAACGGACATGAAGTGGAGGCTACAATTCTCAAGTTGGAAGAGAGTATTAAGCGAGCACAGTGCAAGGCCGAGAGGAGGAAGAAGGAAAAACAACTGGTGGCTGAAGAACTAATCAATGTAATGGCGGTTCACGATGCTCTGTTAGCTGAGTCAAGGAGTATCAAATATGATGTTAAACTGAATAGATATATGTTGACCATTTTATTCATAGTGAATGTAATGGTGCTTGTAGTCATCTGTAGTATGAAGTAGTAGTAAGACCTTTCAGGTTGTGATTTGTAACACTCGCCCTAAAGGAATGGAAGACTTTGAATGCAAGATCAATGTTATCATAATTTAGCATTCCTTGAAACCAACATTGATAAAGTGGTACATGTTCCTAATTACACCTAATTTTGACAGAATCAAAATCTCCTTGGACCTAACATTGTACCTAAAGAGCATGTTCCTGATTACACCTAAAGAAAGAACAAATGCAAACTTGAGTTTTCAGAAGCATACTACCAAGTGAAAACCATGTCTTCACGATGTTCCTGATTACACCTAAATAACCGATTCTAGAGGGGGTCCTGATTACACCTAAATAACCGAGAAGTGGAGGGGGTTACAATCCACTCTCTCACGCCATTACATGAGCCATCCAAAATACAACCCAAACACCATTACACAAAAAATATGGCTCATGTAACAACATTGTCGTCTAATGCTGAGATGGTGGGGGCTGACTTCCTCCCAGCTCCACCACATTTGCTTCGACAGCTCTAGGTTGTTGAGATGGACCCGAATCAAAAGCTCTACCACGTGCTCCATTAAGCTGCAATAGACAAGTCGAAGGCAATTAAATTGTCGGACGTTAAAAAGGAATACAATAAGGGGTAGAAGTGGTTACAAGTAGAGATCTTATACTAACCCGTACATACTAGTTGTCGGTTCTCTCATCCACGTAAACACCCACCCCAGTCGTTGCAACACGCAACTCCCTTTCTATTGTCCTTCTATCAGCAACATTCAGTCTCACATCCTACATGCATTAATCTAGTTGGTTCAATATATTGGGCAAAACTCGACATCCACAAGATTAAGTTCAATTACCTGTATCCCATTTGCTCTGTTTAGAGGACAAGTCCTCGCATTGTGGGTAGGTGAGCCACATTTTGAACAATGAGATCCTCTCTTCTGCCCTTGAGCGTTTCCAGCATCTTGTGGTGCAGCTCGTTTTCCTCTAGATCTTGTATTGATATGCAAGAAACAGATATAACCATGAATTAGAAGCAATAGTTTACACCAAGAATTAGACAATGCAAAAGCAAACTCACCATTGGTTGTGCAGCTGCCGGCTCTCTCACCACTTGTCGGGCAGCAACGGGCTCTCTCGCCACTTGTCGGGCAGCAACGGGTTCTTTGCACGACCTTGCATTGTGGCCCTCCCCACCACATTTGCCTCAATGGATTATGGTACCTTTCTTAGTCAATTCTTGTCCATTTCCGGTGGCTCTTGTTTCAAACTCAATTGCTGCCTTCCTTCTGTTCTTCTTTGGTCGACCAGGCATGGATATGCTCTTAGGAGGGTGAACAGGATATCCTGAAGCCTCGGGCCACGCTTGTCTTCCGTCCAAACAAGGTATTCCATGCTTATATGCTCTGGTTACCGTACTGCTGTGGTAAAAGGGGTGGACGTAATCCTCCACTTCTAGCCTACAATGTGTGATGGCAGAAATGGCATGGCAGCAAGGTAAACCACTTAGTGCCCAATAACCACAAGTGCAGATGCATCCCAGAAGATCAACAATGTACCCATCAGCTCCCATTTTGACTTCACACTTAGCAAACATGGTCTGTCTGGCAACACATAACCTGGCAAATTCCTTCTCTTTCTCCACACGTTTCCTGATTCTCGGACACAATACATCAGCGTTCTCGCCCAACATCCTGTACTTGATCAATACTCTGTCCATCATATATCCCCTAATGCCTTCCAACATATCTACTATCCGAAACCCCCTATACTTGACAATGCTTCCGTTCCACCTCTCGCATATATTGCTCTCAACAGAGTCACATTTCGGAACACTTGACAAGAATGCACGACAGAATGTAGTTGGTTCAGCCGCCATGAAATCCGTATATGGGGTAGTAGACTCACCCGTACCTTCAATGGACTGCATTTCAGAAGTGGCCTTCTTCCACTCCACTTCGTTGCACGCATATACAGCCCTCCAAAACAGCTTTCGAACTCGATCGGTTTTGTGCTTCGCCTTCCAGTTGGCAAATACATGGCGAGCACATTTACGATGTTCAGCTTCAGGCAATATTTCATGAATGGTCTCAACTAAACCCTGCAATAGAACAAATTTATCAGTTTTCACCACACATGTTATGACAGAAAGAATAACTTAACTGAAGGTAAAGAACCACAGTTTACATACCTTCTGCTGGTCTGATATAACTGTCCACCCTCTGCCATCCAAAATATAAAGATCTTGAGCTAGAGTTCGCACAAACCATGACCAAGAATCGCGGTTCTCCCCCTCAACCACGGCTCAAGCAATCGGAAACATCTAATTATTCCCATCTTTACCCACAGCTGTGAGGAGCATGCCCTTAACCTCCCCTTTCAGAAAACAACCATCCAAACCAAACATTGGTCGACAGCCCTCCAGAAAACCCTTCCTCAATCCAGAAAAACCAACATAGAATCGCTGAAAATAACACTTGTCACCACTTGGATGAGACTCGACTTCTAAATGGAAACAACCCATTCATCACGTTTCTTTAACTCAGCGACGTAGCTCCTCAACTTCTTATATTCTTCGACCAAAGAACCACTCAAGAGCCCTATAGCCTCCACCTTTGCCCTGTAACAGGTTCTCCTCTTAACCTCCATGTTGTGTTTTAACTTGACCTCAGCAACGATCTGGTCCGGTGCCCATTCAGGATTAATCCTGAATCGCTCAAGCATATCTTTTGCTATCCACTTTGCAGTTAATTGGTTAACTCGAAGCTGCCTTGAACACGAGTGTGGTGCCCCAACTTTACTCACCATGAAACTTCGATCATTCCTAAACCAGCTGGCATACATCCCCCACTTGCAGTTGGGTGCCTTGCACTTGACCTCCCTCCTTGTTGGATTACTCCTCAACCACCTAATAATTGCACCGGCTGCAATAGAATGCTGGATTACGGCATCCTTGAACTGCTCCGGACTCTCAAACTTCTGTTTCACCACGAATTGTAGGGATTTGTGGTCACAGTTAGGGTCATAATGTGGAGCATCATCATAAGGTTCACCACCGTTCTCCTCAGACAAGTTGGGACGCACATGATCAGAATTCTCGGACAACCTATAACTTGAATGATTCGAACCCTCTAGTCTATCTTGCTCAGGCCGAGATGGATGCTGGTTAGAAAGGGAGGGATTTGTTGCATCATTCCCTGCATCAATCCCTTCTTCCTCCTCATTCACATTCCCTTCATTCACATTGGCTGCCTCATCGCCTCCTTCCTCTTCTTTCAGAAGACAATTCCTCAAAATCATCTAACTGCTCCACCTCCTCACCATTAGCAAGCTGTCTGGCCTTAACTTTCCTTTTTCTTGACTCTCCATATGCTCTTAAGTTGGCCCTTGCCTCCAAGTATTCATCATCAGAGGTAAGTGCATCATCAGAATCCTCCACGTGGTAGATATCTCGTGCAACAGATGCATTGACATCATCTTCTGGTGACAGGTAATCTTCTTCATCAACAGCCCTGTCTAGGTCATTCTCCCCAATCAACTCTTCCCATGAATTTGACATCTGTACACAAATGGGTCAATTAAGTGATTATCTGCTAATTAAAAAACAAAACAACAAATAATAAACAATACACAAAGCACAAACAGACAACAAACAACAATAAACAATGTGATTCAGTTCACTACTTCTACTTGAATGAGTTCATTCACTGTGAATTGACCATTTCATCCACAAGTTTCAGTTCTTTACCTCACGCTTTAAGGGTAATCTCGTGACAAACAGAAGTTGTGGTCCCTGGAAGTAATTGCAGTGTCGCTTTCTCACCAAACTCAGCCCTATAAATTGCAAACATCTCAAGGTTAATCGAGTTTCCCTTCTTCTCACCAAACTCAGCCCTATAAATTGAAAACATACCATATAAGAGGGTGAGAATGAACCAGTCCGACGATAATCGAGTTTCCCTTCTTCTCGAGCTGCCGAATCTGAGCTAGGGTTTTCCGCCAATCGTCTTCTTCACCGCTGCTAGTAGGGATTGGCCGTTGTCGAAGTCTCTCCCCCTCACCCACTCGTTCTTTAGGCGTATAAAAGAGAAGTCGGGTCGGCGGCGTTGGTTTTATCCTGCCGTCGGGATGCATGTTGGATTTGGGAACAAAGACGCCCAGATGAGAGGAAGTGGAAAGGACGCGCAATAAGCGAGTCGCGACAGGCAGCAGTCGGCGGAGGCCGCACCAAATCGTCTCCGTCAACGCCAGTGGGCCGTCGATTGGAAAGAATGGGATCGGAAAAAATGGAAAGGGTTTCGTCTGGTGGAAAGTGAAATTGGTAGGGTTAGAGATCGACGAAAAGGGGCTGGGCGAAAAGGGAGGGGCCTTTTCGTTTTTATATTTTTTAACTAAAAATAATTAAAAATCATCAATTCCATCTGAAAACAATAGCGTTGGAGACGTGCCACATCAGCGAGAACCGTTAGCCTAGTCAGCAGTTCAAGTTCGTCCGTTAAAGTATTAGACGGATTGGCTATTTCTCTGTATTTTTCAAAATTTGGCTATTGTTGGCACAAAGTGGAAAGTTGTGGCTATGTGAGTGTATTTTGTCTTTTGAAAACATATCAATGAACTTTAATATTTAATAATTTGAATTAATAATAAACAAGAGAAAGATAACGAGATAAACTCTTGACTTATATGAAAGAAGAGATCTAGCAAAACGCTCCATCTTTTTTTGTGTTTGTGACACATATTTTCACTGGATAATTGATGGAGCAAATAAGTTTAATTAGGATCTTTGAAGTCCCTACTTTTAAAAGAAGTCATCATCATATTATATGAGCGCTTCTACTATGCTATATAGCATTGGTGCTTTAATGTACAATTCAAAGTTGTACCATAACATTAAATGTATAAGTTTAGGTTGTACCATAAAACAATTTGTACCATTATGTTATGGTACAACTTTACAACTTGAAGTTGTACCATCACATAAAGGTACAAGTTCAAGTTGTACCGCAAAAGAATTTGTACAAAAAGTATAGGTACAATCTAAAGTTGTTCCATAACGTAAATGTACAATTTTAAGTTGTACCATAAAGGCAAAAACCTATAGCACCAATACTATATAGCATTGTAAAATTTTTCCATATTATATGTTGTTGCAAGTTGTAACACACCCTATGCTACCCTTATACTATGTTCCGGTCCAATTAACAAATACCTTACGCAGCCTCTCTTTCTAATTTCTGATAGCCAAAAAACAGTATTTAAATGAAAAAATGCTAATTATAACAGAGTGAAAAGTTCACATAATGACAACTTTAAGCCTACAGCTGGAGGATAATACTGCAATCTGCCCTCTAATCCTTTTCTAGGTTGTACTACGTGTCTATAATTCTTTAATCTCAATGCTAGAATCCTAGAGATAAATTGATATACAGGTATTTATTTATTTATTTATTTATTCTATTGGTATCTATTAATCCATGTATATAGAGTACTGCTCAAGGGTCCAAACGCATCTACTTTAACAGCAATCGGTTAATTACTTAATTGGATCGTTTCTCCTCTACCACTAGGAATACTTTTTTTTTTTACAAAAAGATTATTATTTTTTAATATAATAAGATAATTAGTTTTTGTGCCCTTAGCTTTTATCCTTCAAATTATTTTATATTTTGAAAATAACGGAGCACGTAGAATCTCTGAAAAAATGACATTATGCAACTCGTTAAATCATTGCATAGTTGTTTTATATGACTACGAGGATGAAAAGAGTACCCATTCAAAATTGGTACTAACTATTAAAATTAGGGTCGGAAGTTTGGTACTGGTATTTGGGATATACCGAATACCGTACCAAATTTGTCTATATTTTGTATTACCGAATACACGTATTATTTTGTGGGATTGAAATTGAATTTCAATTGTTATTCGGTATTAGGAATTACGGGATTGGGATCGGTATATACCGAAATACCGATCAATACCGAATATAAGCTAGCGTGTATTTTATCCTCTCAACTAGACTCTCTCATTCACTACTACGCGACCATCAACCACCAAAAGTGTCATTTAATTATACATAGATCATTACATCACTATTTCACACTAGTATTAGTCGTCTCTCAACCTCAAATTCGTCAAATTACAGATTATCAATTACAAGAACTTGAGATGTTAGCTCTAGGCAACTCAAGACTATTTGCTTAGTCTCTTTGCCCTAAATTAAACAATATAATATAATATATATATATTAATTATTAATTGTAAAGGTAATTAATTATGTATTCGATAATACCGATTGGGATACCGAGGTACTGATTGGGATACCAAAATTATTTAGGGATTGGGATTGGGATTGATTTTAGGGTGTAATTCGGTATTCGAGATTTTGGTATTGGGATACCGATACCGTACCGATTTCCACCCCTAATTAAAAGTAACATGATAAATTGTTGCCATGAGTAAGGCCAAGCCGATTACAGTAAAATTGATCAAGAAAAATACTTGTTCACGCGACAACCATGTCCAATAAATAAGCAGGGCGCATTAACTGTCCGCTCTCGAGTTGGACACTAAGGGGCAGAGTAGGACAATTACTGATTCTTAAAACCGGTATTCTTTAAGACCACTGGGGTGTAAAAAGGGGCGGGGAAAGCTCTTCATTTCTGATTTTTCTGAAGGTGGATCATCCAGAACCACAAGAATCATTTTAACTCAAAAGAGTTGCTCTTTGGTGAGCACAGATTGCATAGTATGATGAAATAGTTAGAGAGCACAGTAGAATCACTTAGGGCCCAATCAGACAGCCACGAGGATAAGTTAGAATTATCTATCTTCTACACACTACTATATGGAGGTTCTCCTCCTGCACCGTCCTCATTCTCTTTTTCCTTATTCCTGCGCAGAGTATGGAAGGCCTTTATGGTCAATTTAGTAGCCGGTCTTGGGTTTATTTTTGTGTGTATATTTGATATGCACGGGCGGCTGTAATGTATATGTATGGGCCTGAATTCTCAATATTTTCTTTAGTGGGTTGCTTTCAAGGAACGGCTGTATGTATATGCAATTTTTTGGCAGCAAAAAAAGATAAAATAATACTTGCTTTAGTTTCAAATAAAAACAGGGTCATATGTTGAGTCATATATCGGAACAAAATTTATGAACGATATTAATTGTAAAGAGAATTGTGAGTAAACTATATTGATGTAGATACAATGAAATTAATTTGAATTGAATTACATAAATTGTCAGATGACAATAGACACAACATATGCAATTGATTTTGTAATTCATTGGTGTGAATTTTCTAACGCATCCCGCCCCTTCACCGGCATTGATAATATGTTATCTTAGTATGAATTATATAATAATTGTTGTGTATTGAGAAAATTGAATTACGAGTTTAAAATTTATTTTGTCCCGGTATAGGGTGTGCTATACACTGTCGCAGACTTTCCATTACAACCTCCGATATGGTTTTATAATCCTTGATAAAAACAACATACGGTTAGAGATGGTTGGTTATGAAAGGCTACGATATAATTCATCCAGATAACAGATGGATCTAAAATTCTCTTCATTCCAGGGTTTCTCTTACATTTTAATAGACTACGAAATAAAATTAAAACAATACTTAGGAATGGTAGGTTAATCAAAGATAAAGTTCGTTTCATGGCTCTCTAACATGTTAATCGGCACAAACGATAGACTCGCTTCTTCTTTCTCTGCCAAAATACTACGAAATTGAATTATTTTCTCTTTGATTTTTTTCTTCTTGAAATTAGTTCCATTATTGCTTCTCTTTGGAGGGTACCAGTAGCAGTGCTTCTAGGTAAAAGTCTCTTGGATTTGGAGCTCTGTATAAGCTTGGGAAGGTCCATCTTGGAGTATGAATGATTCTTATTGCATTTATATTATAAAGCCTAAACCAGATTTAAGTAATTAGTTAAGGATTTCATGCTCATGTTAGAACCCCTCTATCGTCAACTATTTTGCTATATATTATTTAGACTAAAGTTAATTTACATTGCTTATACAGTGCTTCAATTCGATTGTCAAAAATTGAATGTAAGTACATATAGTTTTATTAGCATAATTAAATATGTCTTGCAAAACTATTACTCCATACTATATATTTTAGAAATTAGCTAGAAAAAATATGCTTTTTATATAAAGAAAAAGCGTATATATAGAAAAATTGTCAACATTCCTACTGGTAGTCCGTTTACTTCATGTTTGGTTTTTATTTATATGTCATCAAATTTTGTGTTGATGCTAAGATTGCTTACTTTACTAATTCCGATAAGGACTTCAAATGAGATCGAATAACTTACAAACTAAGAGGAATAGATTGTTAAGGTCCATCAAACTTGCTGAATATTGTTATAATCATCTTCAAGTGATGCGTTTTGGAGACTTACAATGTTTATTTTTATTTACCTGATTTGACATTTCTTCATTTATTTTGATGTTAGAATTTTATCAAATGTATTTTTTAAATAGGAATTCTAATTTTATTGCAATTGTTGGAGTGTTTGATAATGGAAACTATTCGTATAAATATTGTTGATATTGTGGATCGATGAGGTGAAAAGGTGAGAGTGCCAAAAGTCCAAAACCACGAGGAATTTCAATAACCAAAGTTTTCATTGTACAACAGACAAGGCAAAGTGAACCTCCCTTCACGAAGGTAGCCTCCAGAAAATTTGAATATGCTACTACAAGCAAATACTTCAATGGCACGTCATTTTTGGAACAGGTCTAAGGCTATAATGAGGTATTTGCATTAACTTCTGTTTTAGATAAATTGGACAATCTATAAATGATGGACGGGAAGTATACGTTTATTCGATTGGAGGTGAAGTATATCATCGAGTTAATAGCCTAAAACCTATTGAAGAGAAGATACCAAATTTTCTCAACTCTACATATATGACAATATATTAAACTCTAAAACCGGTTAGATTATTCCTTCATAGATCCAATTTCAAATCCTTTTGCATGATTCAGCTATTCAACAAACATGCATTTTGTTATTACATCAAGTCAAAAAATGTTGTATTCTCATGATACATGTATACTTAGAATACAATACAAGAGAGAATAAGAAGAGGAAATTAATAATGGAGATAAATGTATAACTAATGGAGATGAAGACATTAATATTGATGCACAGCAGCACATGGTGATGTTGCTCATGTCGGAGGAAGTGCAAACAAGTCAAAATAAAAATGTGCAGTAATCTTTGACGATGGGGGAGTAAATAGAAGGGTGATTTTAAAATGTGTTTAGGAGTCAGTCCAGATATTTCTTTCATTTTCGTAAAAGGATTTTAGTCGATGAGTTAGTTGTGTACAATGTCGAAAAACACTATTTAAATATTTTAAATTGTTGAAGTGCTTTAATAATTTGGATTCTCTTATTCTATCAAACAATTTGAATGTTTCAACTATTTGAATATTTTAGATTTGCTTATACTATCAAAAACCCGCGTAATTCACGTACAATTAGATAATATTATTTATGTAATAGATGATTGAATCCAGCCAACTGGTCGGGCCCGTGACTAGTGATACAAGAGAGATGTTCTCCATGACAATTGACAACCCTGTTAACAATGTCTCATAGCTAGTTTGAACAAATAGTTAGGGAGGACGAAAAATCATAATGCCTCAATTACACACATCCCAGAAAATAAACCACACAACTCATCATCTACACTTCACCACTATATCATAATGTATGGACACGAAGACTGAACCAAACTAACACTAAAAGCAATAATTTGACACGCCGTCAAGCACAGTAAACCAACCATCACTCCAATTTGATGAAATCAAAAGTCTTCATCCATCAATCTTAAGAATACATCAACTAAAAACAAAACATAGATATTATTATCAACGATATATAGGCTTTGATTATATGAGACTAGTCAAGTTTTGGAGCACATTAACTATCGATAAATATATTTGCAAGTACGATAATTATCTGTGTGTTGGGAAGCATATGCTGTCTGTAGTTGTTCAAAATATTTGTATCCTCTATTGTCTTCTCTACTGATTTTATTTTTCTGGGAGACAGAAATATAAATAAATAAAAATTACAAGTGGCTTACTTAACCGTAGAGTGAAACTTACTGCGATCGATTAACAAGCATTCGCCAATTAAATCACGCCACGTAGGAATCTTATGTTATTCAAAGTTCAAACCCAGGGGCATCAAAGTCCATTTGTCGTCTTCCCTCCCTCTTTAATATTTTTTGTTTGTTGAAAATAACTTTTAATTTTATTTTTATTTTTATTTTTCGAGGCACCTACTACTTCAGCTACATTTCCCATTTGTTGCATAATAATTTTATTTTAGTTTATTGCCTTGAAAACTGAAATTTAGTTTCCTTCCTTGGCCATTGCCATAACTAGGGTCCCCGTCCCTTCCGCTTGTGCGGCTGACCTCCATCAATCCCTGCCTAGTTTCATCCACTATAAACTGTTACCCAACTGTCGCCGTCTGTTTTTCTTTCTTCTTCTCCGCCGCAGCCGCAGCCCCCGCCCCCGCCGTCTTCCTTCCGACATCTCTTCCCTTTTTCCCATCACTTCACTCGGTTGACCCTAATTCATCGATCTGGATATGGGTTTCCTGCTGGTTTCAATTAATTGTTTCTCGCCGGCGAATAATCGATAAGGGTTCCCCTATTTCTCGCCTTCTCGATTGTTCCACCGGAGAAAGGCTACCTTTCTTTTTCTTCTTTGGGGGTTGGTCTTCTTTTCTAAATCTTGTTTTGGTTTTGGTAGTTCTGAGCTCGTTCAGCTGTGGAAATTTGTGGGTTTTGGGAGATTCGGATTGGGTTCTTTCTCAATTTCCCCAATTCGATTGGGATTCGATGGAGCAGCTCAGGCTCGCTTTTATAGAAAGTTCGGATTTTGCTGGATTTCCATGTCTGTCTGTTTTCGAAAATATTCATTTCTCTTGAGTGACCAAGATTAAAATAAATAGGCATCTATCCCATTCACTACTCGCATCTGTGTCCAGAGACAGAGTATCGGTTTTGATCTTGCAGAAAAACTGTAAAAAAAAAAAAAAAAGAAACAGCCCATCTTTTTCTTCTCTTCTGAGATGGAGGATAATAGGAACGACGGGAAAGTCAACAGAGGGAGCAGCTGCAGCCCCAGCGGCGGCGGCGGTGGCGGCGTGTATATGGCCGACGCCGTTCTAGGCTGCGTGATGCCGTACATCCACGACGCGCGTGACAGGGACGCGGTGTCGCTGGTCTGCCGGCGGTGGTACGAGCTGGACGCTCAGACCCGTAAACACGTCACGATTGCCCTCTGCTACACGACGAGCCCAGATCGGCTCCGCCGGCGGTTCAAGCACCTCGAGTCCCTGAAGCTCAAGGGGAAGCCCCGGGCGGCCATGTTCAATTTGATACCGGAGAATTGGGGCGGGTATGTTACCCCATGGGTGAAAGAAATCGCAGAGTCGTTTACCTGCTTGAAATCGGTTCACTTCAGGCGGATGATTGTTAAGGATTCGGATCTGGAGCTTCTCGCCAGGTCTCGTGGGAAGGCCTTGCAGCACTTGAAGCTCGACAAGTGCTCTGATTTCTCTACCGATGGGCTTCTTCAGGTGACTCGATTGTGCAAGTAAGTGGGATTTTTTCCCCTTTTCCATTTTCCGTTGGGTGTTTGGTACAGTTCATTGCAACACAGAGGAATGTTTTTCGCTTTCATTTACGCTTTTTGGGAATGTAAGTTCTGCTGCTGTGCTTCATTTTTATGTGTGTATTCGTTTCTTTTCCTTAATGGGATATAAGTCTCCGTATGCATATTTATGGCTGGGAACGCTTATGTAAATGGAAACCTCTGCTTTGTTTTCTAGTTGTTTTGACCATTTAGAATCTGGGTTTATTCTTTGCTAGTTTGATGTGGTGGCCTTTGGGGTTGGTAAGAAGCTCTCATGGATTTCATCAGCAAAATGAGCTATGTGCTGTTGCAGAAAGAGATCTGCCTTTTGTGCCCTTGTTGGTTATGGTTGTTTCCCTAGATAGCAGTCAAAACTTTGTACATTTGCCATGTTGCAGGGAAAGATTAGATTTACTTTTGAGAAAAAATGCAGTGGAACTGCCTTACATAATTGAATACCAGATTGCAGATTAATTCTGACGTGTTTTTGGGTCTTATAGGGTCTCTCAGCTAGAAGTTTTAGGCTGTATTCTGACCTTTTGCCTTTAGTTGGAAACTGAGCAATCGTAGTTTGGTTGTCAATGAAGTAGCTAGTCTGTCTGTTACATCTTTAGTACGATTTCTCTGTTTGATCGCAATCAGGTTGCTGGTTCTAACAGGAAATTCAGTTTAGTGATTCAGAATTTGTAAGGTGATTGATCATTACTGTATTTTCTATAGAATCTTTCTTCTCCTTCAAATTCTTTTATTTGCCAATGGTGGCACACAAGTATGTGCTTAGTACGACAGTAAATTAGAGCATCTTGTTTCTGTTCTCATTTTGAACTGAAGCATATCGGTTTTGACACTCTTATTTCTTGAGTTGCTCTACTTTCATGGTTTTGACACTGTGTATAGTATGTTAAGTGTCATATTCTCATTCATGGGGGTTCTCTGTCGCTTACAGGCAATTGAGGACTTTGTTTTTGGAAGAGAGTATTATCTTGGAGAAAGATGGTGACTGGCTACATGAGCTTGCTACACAAAATACTGTTCTTGAGACTCTTAACTTCTACATGATAGACCTCACCAAACTAAGGGTTGAAGACCTTGAACTCATAGCCAAAAACTGTAGATCCTTGATCTCTATAAAGATGAATGATTGTGAGATTCTAGATCTCATTGGCTTCTTTCGAGCTGCAACTTCTTTGGAAGAATTTTGTGGTGGCTCCTTTTCTGATTTACCTGAAGATGATGTACCAGACAGGTACTCTGCTGTAACTTTCCCCCCTAAACTATGCCGGTTAGGTCTAACCTACATGGGAAAGAAAGAAATGGCCATAGTTTTTCCATTTGCTCCCATTCTCAAAAGGTTGGATCTCCTCTACGCATTGCTTGACACAGAGGATCACTGTCTTTTGATTCAAAAGTGCACCAATCTAGAAATCCTTGAGGTATGGCCACTCTTGTATATCCCTCAATTGTTGCTAATGACTTTCATCATGTTTTTCTCATACCAGTGCATCTTGTATGTGTGTGTTTGTTTCTTCAGACAGTTTTCTTAACCTTGTCTACTCGTTCAATTTGTTCCATATACTCTGTACTAGTGATTTGTCCTTTATTCTTTCTTGTCTCTGTTAATCTCACATGGACCAAAGGGCTTAGGTTATAGATGAGCAAAAACTTTTTAAATGCCAAGAAACATCACTTTCTTTTCTCCTGAGTAAGTGCCTAGAAATCAGTGTGTCAAATTGTGTTCAGTTTTACCCATCAACTTACATACCTGTACAATGTGGTTTTATGACAGCTTGTTATGCTTTTTATACGGTTTTGTTTTAAATCTGTAATATACTTTGAACCACTAGCCTCACTGATTTGATATCCAGTATGATTTCGTCGTCCATGCTAGAAACTAGAAATATTCTTGAACTAAAGATAAGGTTTTGCGATTTGGGTGCCAAAGAAGATGGCTCTTAATCAATACAGCTGCTATTTGTCTGTGCGCAGACAAGAAATGTGATTGGAGATAGAGGGTTGGAAGTTCTTGCAAGGAGTTGTAAGAAACTAAAGAGGCTCAGAATCGAGCGTGGTGCAGATGACCAAGGACCAGCGGATGAAGAAGGTGTGGTTTCACAAAGGGGACTGATTGCTCTCTCCCAGGGCTGCCTAGAACTCGAGTACTTGGCTGTCTATGTCTCTGACATCTCAAATGAAGCTCTCGAGTCACTTGGCACCTACTCAAAGAACCTCAATGACTTCCGCCTGGTTCTTCTGGATAGAGAGGAGAGAATAGCTGATTTGCCACTCGACAACGGAGTTCGGGCACTATTGAGAGGCTGTGACAAGCTAAGGAGATTCGGTCTATATCTCAGACAAGGTGGGTTGACCGATTTGGGGATGAGCTATGTTGGGCAGTACAGCACAAACGTGACGTGGATGCTTTTGGGTTACGTCGGGAATAGTGATGAGGGTCTTCTGGCTTTCTCCCGTGGATGCCCTAGCCTACAGAAGCTTGAGATGAGGGGATGCTGCTTCAGTGAGGGTGCACTGGCTAGAGCTGTACTCCAACTGGGTTCCCTTAGGTACTTGTGGGTGCAGGGTTACCGAGCATCACTGACCGGAAGGGACCTTTTAGCAATGACTCGCCCTTTCTGGAACATCGAGCTGATTCCTCCGAGGAAAATAGTTGTCCCGAGTCAGGATGGAGAAACTGTGATCATGCATCCTGCACAAATACTTGCTTACTACTCTCTTGCGGGACCGAGATTGGATTTTCCTGATACCGTTATCCCCTTGGACCCAGGAAGCTAGCTTTGGTTTTCAAGTTGTTGTATATTAGAGATATGAGTCAGCATCCAGTGTCTATAGTTTCATCCTACTTTCCTGTTTCTATTTTGATCAGTTGTTTATCATCCTTTTTTTCTTGTCTGTCTGGTTTTAGAACTTTAGCTGCTCTGGGTTTGTGTGGAGACACACCCTTCTGTCTGTACTAATAAGGCCTTGCTCTTTATGGAGTTTGTGTGTAATTGTGGGAGTAAACGAGCACTTTAAATTGTATTTCATAGTTGTTACTGAGACAAAAGATCAGAATCTGGAGCTTGATGAAATTATATAAGATATGATGCCATGGGGCTTGCTTCTGGTTCCACTTGTTTTTTATTTTTTGTGCCGTATTTTGACAATGACATGAACTTTCATGTAAAATACGTGTTTTTGCCTGAACTTTCGAATAATACTATCAGTCCGAATTCCGAATAAAATGCACAAATTTGACTTTGAATTTTGTGTTGATCGTTAGTATTGACGCCGTCATTTATTGAAATTTGTGTTGATCGTTAGTATTGACGGTGAATCGTTTCTCTACTGTGTAACTCATCACTCAATACTGAAGTGGCTACGAATTGGTTTCCACGTCATTTATTGATTTTGAAAAATAATTGCAGGAAAAAAAAACTTAAAAAACAATTTTCCATATCACCCCGACCTTATTCTACTATTGCCGAGGGCCATTAGCAACCAGTCAAAAAAAGTACGCTACCCTTGAATCTGTTCTTCATTTTTAATCTCAATTTCATCTAATGGGCGGAAATGTCATATGCAATTGGGCTGGGCCTTCGATACAAAGCCCAAACTGAATTGGCAGCTGATTTTGGAACTAGAAAGTTGATTTTTATTATTGAACAGAGAAAGAAGGAACTCCGAAACCCAAAAGGCCCGACCCGCGGGCCGCTTTTTGTTGTATCGGATGATTTTTAATTTGGACGTAAGGTTTTGATTCCTTTTCTTTTGTGTTCATCTCTTTGCTTTTTCACCCTGCTTATTGAGGCCACCTTTACACAATCGAGATTATCTTGTCTGGGCTGAAAACAGGAGCTACGATTGCGAAGGATCAACGAACAGATCGCCTTTTTTTTGCAATTAACAAAAATATCATTAAGATCTTGTCCTTGCTATATCCAAGTTCAATGTGTACTATTAAATGCTTTTTAATCTTGGGGTTTAATTTGTGGGTTCTTTTTCAACAAGAGAAAAAAGGAAATGGGGATGGGAATAAAAGGTGGATGATAGGTAGATAGGTACAAGGCTTCATGCTCAAACAAACACTGTTTTATTGGGTGGTTAAGGCCAAAAATAAGGAATCAAACGATGTGTTTTTTTACGTTGAATAGATTATTCTACAAATTGCCTCTTGTTCTCTGCATTATGAGAGAACTTCATGCGTAATCATGATCGTCATGTTATAATTAGTCACATCGTCTTTGCAGTCGTTAACAAACGAACATCTTTCCAGTAATTGTATAAGTTGAATATGGATTTATCATGTTACACATACCATTAACGTATATAACTTGACTACACTACAATATCGTAACTACTCCAAATTTAGATATGTCATGTTGTACATGCATGTAACTCCCCCTGGTATCGTGCAATGTAGTGCAAACTTGTCACTACTTCAAAGTTCAAGTATTGATAAAGCAACGCACTATATATTGGTAATTGTTCAGACACAATATTCGAAAACAAAAACGTTTATGGACGTGAAAGATAAGGCAGAAAATAAAGTTTGGGTGACGTCAATAATAATTATAATGCCCTTCTTTTCCCATTCTCCATGACGTATGCCATGCAACTTGGAGTCCGGCTGGCGGCTGCTGCTCCTTTGCATACCAATAAGCAATATTATCATTAAATACCAAATAGATTTAACTCAAATAAAGCGAAAAAAGTTTGTTTAAATGTTAGCTGCTACTTAAGATTTTCAAAGTTAGAGACCTTCAAATTGAATATCAGTGGTAATATCACTAAATTAAATCTTTGTTAAGAAATAAACTTGATTTCAATAAGTTAGCTCTGCTTACGAAAACTTACAAATACTTAGTTTTAGTTAAAATTAAATAAATCTTCGGCTTTGATATATCAATATCTTCAAAAACGAATTTGTAAAGTATATATGGCTTGAAATTAAAGATCTGTCTTTTATACGGTTGATAAGTTAACATTCGATGGAATGGAACTGGTGATTATTAACAAAGATTTTCATAAGTTTTTGTAAAAAGCAAAACAAAACATTATGCATTTACAAAATAAATGATGGACGTGAAATATTTTCAAAATTTTCCATTTCATTAAATATGATGAACATACGTGTAAAATAAAGAGTATGCAAAAGGTTTAGAGAAATAAAGCATATCCGTGTTAGCATATTCTTAATAACTTTCCTTTTCGCCAATCGGTAAAAAATATAGTTAAAAGAGAGACAAAGACTGACGCATCAATCAATCAAAGATTTGTTGGTTAATTGTGGACATATTCATTACGTACATATATGCATAGATCGATAAGTAACCAAATTTTTTCATTTTGAATTTCTACGAAATTGAAATAGTTTTAGACGTATGTGTAGCTCGTCGTTGTTATATGGTAAAAGAACGATTTTCCAATAATAATAATATTAATATTGATGAATGATGATGAATTGATGATGATGGTTTTATACTTTTATTAGCTAGGTAGCAGGAAGTATTGGTGCATCAAGAAAGAAAGGAAGCCCACAAAGTGCCCAAAAGCAGGTTACAAATTAAAAAATAAAAAAGTGACAAACTAGTGACGCTACACCATTATGTGCTGTTGTTTTTATCTCCTTTTTTAATGAACTTCGTTGGCATTCTTGATTATCATTACCAAAATAATAATGAACTAAAATTCAGAGCAGTGTTTAATTTGTTGCCGACCTCTCATGAATGAGGTGTTTCTCTACGAATCCATGTTAACGTAATCAAAGTATTCATGGATTGATAATTTGACAAATTTATTAATTGATTAAATGGATCTGGATTGTATTCGTAGAATCAAGTAGTAGCTAAACTTTGAGCCAATACAATTTTTTTGAAAAGTTTAGATACTAAATTATCATTAATAAAAAAATCCAGGCACCATTAATTCCCAATTATATTTTAGTTACAAAAATAAGATTTAGATATCAAATGGTAAGATATAAAATAGAGATAAAAATAGTGATTTTCCAATAATTTATGAATTCACCAATCCATTTAAATTTGAAGTAAATTGATTGAAATTTTTTATTGATGAATTGAATTAATAGATTGAATTCAAATTACCGTTTCTACTGATCCGAACAACCAGCTGCTTGCTATCACTATCAGAGTGTGTGTATATACCTATTCCCATGAAACAATTTGCAACAAAAATATGTTAGAATATTCCTTTCATGTATTGCCTCAACTTGACACACAAGTTTCGGTGGAGATTCTTAAACATCTATGTTTCATTGATTTGTAATTTTGTTCGCACAAGCAGTAGTATCCATTCTTTTCCGGATCATCGAATTACTATGTTTTTATTGATTTGTAACTTTGTTCATCCTAGCAGTAGTATCCATTATCTATGAGCATCGAACTATTCGTGCGTTACAGAACAAGAAATATATACTTTATCATTGAGTATCGTATGAGTTGCTGCAATTCAATAAGACTCGATCCTTTGTTAATCGTCGCTTCAACAAAATTGCTAGTGGGGTTGCTAGGAATATGAGATCATGTCCTTTAAACAAAATAATAATAATAATAATAATAATAAACAAGACTCAATCTCCATCCAAACAACGTTGTTTCCAACAATGATGATAAAATTTTTTCTTTTAGGGGAAACAATGATGATAAATTGAATGATTGTGATTTGTGTATTTTTGAATCACACAATTTTCAAAATAACATAAATTTGATTACTTACCGCTACTTAAATCCTCACTTGTTTTCAACTATAAAGCTACACCACCACAATCTAGATTCCGTAGCAAATCCATTGATAGAACAATTGAAGCACATTCAAATTCTTATCTCCCATAGAGCCTAGCTAGGTCAAGAAAAAGGAATGATGAAAAGTTGTGTGTATGCAATCTCTTGGTCCTTTTTTCTTTTCTTTTATTAAGCTCCCTTATTAATTAATAACAATATTCTGAAAGCTAGTAGCTATAAGATTCTTTATTCCCGCAAATTAGTACTGAAAAAGAAAGGACAATAGAGGGAAATTGTCCATTGAAAAAACCCAAAGGGGAGAAAAAGAATCACTAAAAGGAGGCCAGCCCTTTGAAATGATGCCTTGTCTCTCTTCCACGGTGAGGGGTTGCTGCTCATCAAACAGTTCGCCCACCATCCAGACACACTTGCATTTGTCTTGGCCGGTGCAAACACAAATATCCACCAATTTCACCCACATGGACACCAACTCTAAGCACTTACAAATCTTATATTGACGAAATCAGTGAAAAATTCAAGGTTCATAATTACGAAACCGATATTAACTGATTAGAGTTTTGGATGACATGAAGGGGGGTTTTGTGAGAATTTCGAAATTAAACGTGCTGACTTTTGAGCACTACAATGATGAGTCATTTTATGGAAAGTCAACTTGATATGCATCCTAAGACAAAAAAAAAAGAAAAAAAAAACCGAACCAGGCCCAAAGCGACAATATCTTGTCGGGAAAAGGTTTGGAATTTTACAAGTAGTATCAGATCTTCTTAAACCGACCTTAACTGACGAAAAGCGTTTTGGAGTGAAATGGGAGAATTCTTGTGAGAATTTCGAAATTAAACGTTTTAGTAAATGGAATAAGATCCATTATTGAACATCTCCCAACAACTTGAGTTATAGTGACAAACTGGTTTCTTATGACTAAACGTGCTCACCGTGGAGCACTACAAGAATGTTGTGATCTTATGGGAAGTGATGGCTCGATATTTGCACATGTTTTCCTTTGTTTCTTGATCGTTTAAGCTTGCATTATCACTTCTTTGGCCTATTTTACGCTAGGTTGTATTTCTTTGTCACAATTCAGGTCCCAAGCGTCGAAGGAAAGGCTAGGCGCAAGTTTCAAGTCAATCGGATACCAATTGGCGATTCGGGAGAAGAAACTCGAGCATGACCTGAAGAAGAATGGATTCTTACCTCATTTATGGACAAAGAATCATGCAAGCTTGTCATGAAAAGAAAGAGGACGAGACTACGAGCGTCTAGGATCAAACGACGACTGATTCGGAGTCCGGACGAGGGAGAAAGGAAGCATTGAATATAGGGGAACAGGTTCGGCAGTAAAAACACGGGCAGACTACCCTAAAACCAAGGTCGTGTTTTAACTGCCGAGGGCGTGCCGTGATGGCTGCTGGGGGAAAAATACGGGCGGACAAAAGTAAAACACGGCCGTGTCCTCGACCGTGTTTTACCTAGAATCGGGTTTTTGAGGCAGATTCAAGGCAAAGGAAAGGGAGAGCTGGGGTTTGGTTCCCAAACACCCAAGGGACGAACCCTATAGAGAGAGAGAGAGAGAGAGAGAGAGAGAGAGAGAGCGACTTGGGAACATTCTTGGAGCTATTTTGGAGGATTTCTTCGCCATTGGAGCTCGGGAATCAAGCTTGGAGATGGAGATTTCTGCAGTCCCTCTCTTCTCTATGGAGTAACTTCCCTTCACTTAGATTTTGAGGAACCCTAGTTCCATGTGTTAGGTGCTTTCTTGCATGAAGTTTTGGATGTTATATTGTTTGATTATAATCGATTGAGGTATGACTTATTGAATCAATTGAATCTTGATCAAATTCTCTTGATTTCTGCTTTAACCTATGATAGATAGAATCTGATTAGGTTAACAGAGCTTCCTTGATTGATAGTGGTGAATTGGTTGTGCGAGAGTCAATCAATTCACTGCTTTGTACTGAAATTCATTCTAGTAGTGGAGATCTGTGTGAATTGCCTTAGCAGTCTATCTTGGTGAAGGCTAGTCGCCTGCCGAGTATTCTGTCTAAGAGGGCTTGGTCAGCTTAAGAGATTCCAAGCTAATTTAGGATCTTCTGCAGTTTAATCAACAGTAGATCAACCAAAGGTAATTGCAACTTGGACCTAATTGAGGTGCTAGGGGGAATCATACCTAAGTGAGTTCCCACCTTGTAATTAGTAGAGTAGTTTAGTAAATCAATCCTTAATCTAGTTTGCTAGATAATGAACTGAAGCTGAGTAATAGTAACTCTAGAGACCCGTGGATTCGATATTTATTACTTGCGCCACTATACTGCAGTCCCTTTCATTGGTTACACTTGGCCATTGTTAGGTGTTGTGTTTTAGCGTGTCAGGAAGTCACCTTGATATGCACCCCAAGACAAGATCCGTAATGGTCTACACCCAAAGCAGACAGTATCTTGTTGTTACGTGAATTTTGCCGGTGGAAATTGGTTTGACCAAATGATAGTGTGTTTGAATCTTCAAGACGCCAACATTAACGGTTGATAAGATCACAAAGTACGGTCGGCCTGCAAACTTCAAACTTGTGAATTGGCTTTCGTTGCATAAAATCCATAATTAACATTTTCCTCAAAATTCGAATTATTATGACAAAATGTTTATCACACTTGATTAAAGTTTTGGAAGGATAATCATCCTTATAAAAAAAACCAACTACATAAATTTGGATTGGCTAGAGGAAGGGGGAATAAAATAGTGAAAATAAAATCTAGAAAGAATCGCATTTGGCATTCCTACGTGGATCGGTCGTTTCCATATTATGGGCTGAAGCTGAAGCATGTGATGCTCTCTCTCACGAGTGGAATGCAAACTCAGCTGCGACTAAGAAATGATGAATGATTAGTCATTTATATGGTCACCTTTCTTTCAAATGCCTTGTCTTTTCAATTCCTTTACGGGTCAACTTGCCCACCTTGCCTCCGACTCCATAATTATTCAACTCACAACAACCCTAATCAACTTCACTACACACGTGTACAGAATATGTATTTTGATTAAGGTTAGACTCTGGCTAGTCATCAACACTACTAGCTTATAGACTGATGGAAAAAATGTAATTACTAATTAGATAAAGAGATTAGAGATATCTAATGAAAAGTTGCCATTGATGAGTCTGCTTTGCTTGCCCACATCAGGCTTATGACGTGGCAGATTAAAAGCATGTAAAAACCCTGCTTTTTTCACCCTAATACAATGATGATCATTTTTACCATAGCATGCGATTTTTTTACTTGGACAAAGTTATGTGGAGTGGGAGTGGCGGGCTACGGTGGAGAGCCCACGGCGAGAATCACGACAGCAACAACGAACTGATTGTTGGGATCTACAGAGTAAAATAGATGATCAGCGAAGGGTGATTTGTTATTGAAGGATTCCAACGAAGGGCCAAATCTAGAAACGAAATAAACCGAGAACATGAGACCATGATGGCAGATTATTATGTCGAGACAAAAATAACAAGAGTATTTTGTGACTTTTTAGAAAGATGTGAAGACCACAACGCGTTTCAATTTGAAACTCGACTTTTATATACGAGTATCAATAATAGGTAAATTTGGATCTTCATGACCCAAATCTTGGGCCCTAATTTCACGTCGACAAAGGAAGAGGAAGAAGAAGGTATTACAATCCACCTCAGAGTTGATTGCACAGAGCATCGATGATCATATCATGCCAATACAGAGCTAGAACATTCGTATCATATTTGACAGCTTGTTTGTTTCCCCACATCCTAATTATTAACAAAACCAGAGACAGATGAGGACAGTCCATTGAACCACTCCAGAGTCCTCCTTAGCTGCGGATTCTCCGAGCCGCCGAAAACTGGAACGCCGCCGCCGTGGTGTGGCGAGCGGCTGCCGCATAGAGACTCTGGTCGTACGGCGACGAACCCATCATGAACAAGTTGGCATTGGGATGGTGGTGATGGTTGTTCCAATCCATCCAGGCCAGCTTGTGCGGCGGCGAAAGCAGGGCGGCGGTGAGCTGATGGTCGATGGACGGCGATGATCTCTTGTTGTCGGCGGCGACGGAGGAGGAGAGGCTGACGGTGGTGATGTCGTGGATGCTCGGCCTCCTCTTGTCCTTCACGCCGGAGAGCTGCTGCCTGATGAAGTACTTTTGTGCATGACTCGCCACTTGAGTTGGCGTCTTCGACACCACGAAGTTGCGAGATATGTTCCTCCAATCCCCTTTCCCGTACTTCAGTAGCCCTTTCAAGAATCGCCTGCACGACACACACCCGAAATTCGATCGCGTACAATGAAATCGATGAACAAGTAACGTTTTGAGTATCAGTCCACAATAGAAATCGACACTAATATGTTCCTCTGTGACAATTGGCATGAAATAATCTTGAGTTTTATTTGCTACAAAGATATGAAATTAGTCACACATGTAAGGACTAAGGACTATAGTTTGAATTTGAGAAATTTGTAAATTTGACTGAATAAATACACATGGAAATAGCAATTTAATGTTGAATATATTGAAATTGGGGAAGTGAAGAGGAACTAAAACCTGTGCTCGTCTTCGGTCCAAGGGACGCCCTTTTTGCGGCCCTGATCGGAGGTCTTGGTGGAGCCCATGGGCCGCTTTCGGTACGAATCGACGAAGTCGGGCCCGTCGATTAGGTCCAGGCTGAAAGCCGCGTCCTCATCGTCGGCGGCGGCGAAGTAACCGGGAATTGGAACCCTTCCAGCTTCGATCTCGCACAGGTCTTCTTCCAGTTCCCGATACTGTTTGATCACATCAGAGACGGATTTCCCGGGGATCATGGCGGCGACTTTAAGCCAGCGGTGGGGATCGTGCTCGCCGTAGATGGCCAAAGCGCTCTCGAAGGCCTTGTTCTCTTCTCTGGTCCACTCCGAGCTCTGGCAGCTGCTGCTGCTGCTGCTGTCGTTTTGTGGGTGGTGGCTCGACATGTAGAAATGCGGGTAAAGAGCTTCCATGGCTACTGATTCCGTTTTATAATTGTGTTTTTTTCTTCTTTTTGTGTGGGTTCAGAGAAGGAACAAAGTCTTCATGGTGAAGTTTGAGAAGGGGGGGAGGGAGATGGGGATTTTTATCAATTTCTGGGTCGGCAGAAAAACAGAGGAGGGCTACTGAAGAATCTGCTTTTTCTTCTTATATGGAGAATCTGGGGGAAAAGGGGGAATCGAGAGTGGGGAATTTCAAAAGGAGAATACAAATCTCTATCTCTTCGTTTCAATTTCAACCTTAGGAAGGAACCCAGATGGGGAATTGAGGTGAGATTTTGTGGGGGAGGAAGAATCTGGGGAAAAAACAGAGTCTCTGATTTGGGCGGTTTTTCAGAGGAATCTTGAATAGGGGACTGAAGAATTGAGATGTAGGTTTTGGAGTTCTGCGTGTGGGGGAGATGAGATCGAAGAGGGAAGGTCGGAAGGTTGGGAAGAAGGAAGGAGAGGAAAGGAAAGCAGAGGTTTTTGGCAAGGGGAAAAGGTGGCTGCTGGACATTGGAGCAAGCAGGGAGTGTTTTGCCACTATATAACCCCTCTGTTGAAAGCACTCGCTGTTCCCCTTTTGCTCTCTTTTAATTTTGTTGAGGAAGACGACAACTGAATTTTCCATTCTAGTGTTTGTTTATGAAGAATGGAGATCTCTTTCGATTGACGTGAATACTTCGGTAAACACTCACAAAATACACAAGTTCATAGTTTATTGTGTAAGCCCATTACATAACATAGGAAACTTCAAGGTATACCTTGAGTCGATGTTATCAAGATTTTTGTTGCGTTTGTCAAGATCAAGCTGGTTACTTGTATTATATTATATTAATAGAAGTCCGTTCGCTATTGCTTCGCGTATAACAAAGATAAATATTTTAAATAGTAATAGTTTTAATGTTGACCCAAAAGTGAAAGTAATCTTATTTCATTCTTAATCATTTTTTCATATTATTTACAATAGCATATGGTCGATGAACTTGCATAAGGTAGAGGGGTCGTCGAATAGATTATTTATGTTTAAACTTCTTTCATGACGCTAATGTTTCAATTTTTATGGTTTTTTTTTGGGTTTGAGGTAATCGTGGTTCTCCTTTATGAAAATTTTGGACTGATTGCAGGTTTGAGGAGGTTCAACTCGCACTGATCGGGTCAAATTAGGTTGGATACCCATGGATTTGGGTTCAATTGTCTTCCTCAAACAAAAGGAAAAAGCTAAATGAAAAACACTAAAGCTAAAACTCGTCAACACCGGGTTCAACTCGCTTTGACCTGGTTGGACCGAGTTTTGAACAAATTCACACCTGACACAACACGCCAACTACAAAAATAAATAAAACTCGCTCCCGCCGAAAACCTGTAAAATCGGGTTCAAGTCGCTTTGGTCGGTTCGAATTAGGTTTTGTACCCATGCGTTTGGAGTTAATTGTCATTCTCAACCAAAAGGAAAAAGATAAAAAAAAACTAAAGCAGATAAAACTCGCCCATGACCCCAAACTCTCAACACTGCGTTCAACTCACTTTGACCGGGTCGACCCAGTTTTAACACATTTACAATTTACCCAACCTGTCAATTACAAAAGCGGATAAAACTCGCTCTCGATACAAAAAGCGTAAATGAGTCAGAGTTCAATTGTCATTCTCAACGAAAAGGAAAATGAGAAATAAAAAAAAAAATTAAAACGTACAAAACTCGCTTTCGATCTAAAACTGGTCAACAACGTGTTCAACTCGCTTTGAACAATTTTTTAACAAATTAACACTTGGTGCAACCTGCCAACTACAAAAGCGGAGAAAGCTCGCTCACAATACAACATGTCGTCAAAACCTTAGATTCGGGATCAATTGTCTTCCAACAATAAAAAAGAAAAAAAAAAGAAATTTACAAATGCTAAAGTCGGTTTCAAGTCGCTTTGACTGGATTGAATTAGGTTGGATACCCATGGATTTGGGTTCAATTGTGATCATGCTCAACAAAAAGGAAAAAAAACACTAAAGAGGATAAAACTCGATCCTGATACAAAACTCGTGGTAGTGGCCTTGGAAAACGATGGTGGGGAACAACTTAGGATTCCGCCGACAGTATTTCGAAATGAGCTGCAAAATGGTGGGCAAGGCCGCAAAGGTGATGATTTGTGCAAAAAACCATAGACGAAAATCTAGCGACCAATACCAAAACACTAAAGAGGATGAAACTCGCTCGAGATACAAAACTCTTGGTAGCGGCCTTGGGAAACGATAATGGGGAACAACTTAGGACTCTGCCGACCATATTTCGAGATGGGCTGCAAAATGGTGGGCAAAGGCGATGATTTGTGTTCAAGTTAGCATACTCATGTGTTTGGGTTCAATTGTGATTATGCTCAACAAAAAGGAAAAAAAGAAAGAAAAAACACCTAAAGAGGATGAAACTCAGTCCCGATACAAAAATCGTGGCAACGGCCTTGGGACACGGTGGTGAGAAACAATTTAGGATTCCGCCATCAGTATTTCGAAATTTGTGCAAAAAAGCGATGATTTTTGTGCAAAATGGGAAACGGGCTGCAAAATGGTGGGCAAAGGCGATGATTTGTGTGCAAAAAGGCATAGACGAAAACCTAGCGAACAATAACTAAACACAAATGTGATGATTTGTGCAAAAAATCATAGACGAAAACCTAACAAACAATAATAAAACACAAAGGCGATGATTTGTGCAAAAAGCTATAGACGAAAACCTAGCGAACAATAAATAAACACAAAGGTTGTAGAATGGAGAGTGTGACAAAAGAAGGGCTTGGAACTTCCTCACTTGCACTTGGAGGAGTGTGAGAGCCACTAATGAATAGTAACTCACAACTTATGCTTTTAATTGTGATTATGCTCAACAAAAAGAAAAAACAAAGAAAGAAAAAAAAAACTAAAGAGGCTGAAACTCAGTCCCGATACAAAAATCGTGGCAGCGGCCTTGGGACACGATGGTGAGGAACAACTTAGGATTCCACCACCAGTATTTCGAGATTTGTGCAAAAAAGCGATGATTTGTGTGCAAAATGGGAAACGGGTTGCACAATGGTGGGCAAAGGCGATGATCTGTGTGCAAAAAGGCATAAACGAAAACCTAGCGAACAATAACTAAACACAAATGCTATGATTTGTGCAAAAAATTATAGACGAAAACCTAACAAACAATAATAAAACACAAAGGCGATGATTTGTGCAAAAAGCTATAGACGAAAACCTAGCGAACAATAACTAAACACAAAGATTATAGAATGAAGAGTGAGACAAAAGAAGGGTTTGGAACTTCCCCACTTGCACTTGGAGCAGTGTGAAAGGCATTAATGAGTAGTAACTCACAACCTATGCTTTTATATATTAATTTGTGCAAAAAAGCGATGATTTGTGTGCAAAGTGGGAAACGGGCTGCAAAATGGTGGGCAAAGGCGATGATTTGTGTGCAAAAAGGCATAGACGAAAACCTAGCGAACAATAACTAAACACAAATGCGATGATTTGTGCAAAAAGTCATAGACGAAAACCTAACAAACAATAATAAAACACAAAGGCGATGATTTGTGCAAAAAGCTATAGACGAAAACCTAACGAACAATAACTTAACACAAATGTTGTAGAATGGAGAGTGGGACAAAAGAAGGGCTTGGAACTTCCCCACTTGCACTTGAAGGAGTGTGCGAGCCACTAATAAATAGTAACTCACAACCTATGCTTTTATATATTATTATTATATTATATTAATTAATAATTGAGATTTCCTACAATAACTTGAAGTAAGGTAACTTGAATTTTTTTACCTGCTATAGCAGGTTTCACAGGTCGCATTACGTAAAATACGATAGGCATTACGTAATGGTTACGTAACATATGGTAATCTTACGTAATAGTTGTAAAAGATCATTACGGAAGTCTTACGTAATAGAATGTGACTTTACGTAATGAGTATTAACCTCGCGCTACGTAAAATTCTAAGTCATTACGGAAGCCTTACGTAACGCTACTGATTTAACTGTTACGTAAGAAATAACTGTCGTTCCATAACCTTTACGTAATGGAAGGTCTTTTTACGTAATGAGTATTAACCTCGTGTTACGTAAAGTGTTAAATCATTACGGAAGCCTTACGTAATGCTTCCGATTTAACTGTTACGTAAGAAATAACTATCGTTCCGTAACCTTATATTTTGAAGAATACAAAATTGTAGATTATTTATTCTAATTCAATAGAGTTTCTAGTACACAGATAGCTAGGGATGATAATGGGTCGGGTTGGGGCGGGTTTTGTCAAACCCAAACCCATGGGTTTATCGGTCAAAAAAACCCGGGGTAAAACCCATTGGGTTTGAAAAACTCAAACCCAACCCAACCCGATGGGTATCCGCGGGTTCATGGGTACCCGTGGGTTTATATGGAAAAAATTTACAATAACAAGTTTCTTTCAAAATAAAAGTTTCATAAATTTTCTCATACAAATTAATCATACAAAAAACACCAATCTAGAGCATACAAGCAAACCGCAAATGATCAATACAAATTGTTCAAAATTAAAGATAAACATATATAAACAATAAGATTAATTGAAAGCTTCTTCCTCGTCAACTAAGTTTCTTCACTCTCCACTTCATAATATCAACTTCATTCTAAACAATTAGAAAGAACAAATTATACATGTCTCCACAAACATATAGAATATTAGTTGTTTAAAGAAGATATATTATTTAGAATATTAAATATACAGGGAAAGTAATTATATGTGTGTGGGCGGGTACCCATGGGGCGGGTTTATCTAAACCCAAACCCAACCCGATCCGGTGAATAATGTAGCGGGTTTAAACCCGAACCCGGCCCAAAACCCGTCAACACGAATTTTACCCATGTTGACCTGGTTGGGTCGGGTGGGTACCCGTGGGTTCGGGTTTTGTTGCCATCACCACTTCAGAAAGAATATGTCATACCTCATATTTATCAGGAAATGTCGAAGATGTCCCGACCGAGTTATAAAGCTGGATATATACTCTCTCATTATATATTTTTATTTAATATCATAACGATCCCTTATGAAATGAGAGATTTGTGTTCATTTTAATTAAGACAGAAAGAGTATGTTACTTGATAGAAATTATAATTGTTCTTATACAACATCTCTCAAAGAATTTTTCCCCTATACGGTCAAAGGAAGACAAAATCTAAGACCACACATGCCGGGCTTGGCTACTATGATTCGCCAAGGCGGCAGCTGAGCTGGGTTAAGTGAATGTTTTCTCTGTGGCATTGTGCAAATCTTGGTTCGTGACGTTTTTATTTTTCCTCTGTTTTGTTCCTTTCGATTTGGGGAGTTGTGGCCAGTCGACCTCTTCAATGGAGGAGATGAAAGTGACTATCGATCTTGGGCGATCCCTGAGTTTGAAAGTTTCAATACTGCTGAGCTCCTTAGTTTTTGTTGCACCACAGGAACACATTTACATGAAGACAAAAAGGGTTCCATCATTTTCACTTCATCGTTGTCTTTTTGTTTAGGTGATGGGTCATTTCAACAAGGTTTTTACTCGGTTCGTGAATAGAAAGTTTTTAGTGGGTTAGGGTTGTTTTTCTTGTAACGGAAAGAAGACAACATCCACAAGAGGTTGCTCCTACCTACAATTTCAAGTCATGTATTCAACTTTTCACGAGTTAAGTGTTTGTGCAAATTAGTGGTAAAGAGGTATTATCGTTATTATCGTCGGAAACGTCATCTTTGTCTTCACAATTGTTGTCATCGCTCTATCATTTGCCTTTGCCTCTGAGATGATCAGTTCACTCTCTCTTTGCCAAATCTTCTTCTAGCTCTCCTAGTCAATTTACCCTGTAAGAGTTGATGAAATGCTCACCGAGAAATATTTGTGGCTGGCATGATAAGATGACTATATAACAGTGAAAGAGGATGAGCAAACAGTGAAGTGTCAAAAAAAGACTAACATTTCGAAGACAACAATGAAGAAAGTAACAATACATGCTGAAACGTAAAAGAAGGCCAGGAAGTTGGCCACCAAGCCCACAACCATCAGCAAAGGGTAGCATTTCACTTTCTCTTTATGATACATATTGTCTTGTGACCTATGTGTCTATGTAGGTCAAAATACATACGATAATCTTGAATACGATCTCGCCCTTGATTGGCTTGGACCGTTTTACTTAAAAGTGTTTTCATGAATATGAAGAACAACCGGAGTTGAATGTTGGTAAAGGGGTTATGCTTGGAAGTTTGGTGCCTGCCCTTAGTCTTACAATAATATGAACTACTAAAACCCTAAAGTGTTCCGTCCATACACATCTCCTTCAAGCCTATTTAGTGAGCTCTGCTAGCCTTATTCACACCTTGAACTTATCATTCAAAATTCTATATAAACGAGTGATTCTAATAAATACGCTTTTGGTAAAGGCTATACAATTCAACTCTTGGTTAGATATGATCTATTTAATCTTTTCATTTGATTCTGTCCCATATGCTTAAATTTGTTGTTAACCTTTTTCCCGTCCATACCTACCTTGCTTTAAATCTCCTCTACTTTGTTATCATGCACATAAAACGGGCAGAACGACAAGGAGGAAAAGAAAACGAAAACCACAAAAATGGAGGGACTAATCTCCTCCTCAACCTCTTACTTTGTTGTGCAAATAAAATAGGGAAACGACAAAGAGATGCAAAAAAAAACCCTCCAAAATGGAGGGACCCATAAACGCAATTTACAAACAGTTACAACCATTTTCCCATACACTTGCAAATTGATGGATTCATTCATCCATCAATGTTTTACAGTACAAACTACAAACACCTCCCAATTGCTGAAAGTGACAAAACCCTAATTTTGGTGCAAACCCTTTTTATTTCACACTCTTTTTTGTCCAACTTTTTTTTTTTTGGTAAAACGACAGACGTCGAGCGTCTAATTCATATTAATAATAGCTCTTTCATGGGAGATTCCCATTACATCATGGTTGATCCACCTAATCAAGTCCCTATCACACACATTGAAATGATGTGTGCCAAAATCAAAATCATGAGCCTTGTTGGCCAAGTAATCAGCCGCATAGTTCGCTTCTCTATATACATGGGACACTCTAACCTCCCATTGTCGATCCAAAATAAAGCTCAAATGCCTGGCAGTTGAACCATGGCGATGCACATCATCATTTCTGTGTTTAATGATATTAATGGCAGTGGTAGAGTCGCTGTGCAGAACGATCTTCCTGTAGCCTGCCTTCCAAGCAATCCTCAAACCCTCCAAGCTTCCTCGCAGCTCAGCAGCAGTGATTGAGCATCGTCCAAAGTTACACACATAGGCGCCCAAACATCTACCTAGGTGATCCCTGAACAAACCTCCTGCTGCTGCTTTCCCACTCTGAGCATGAAAGGAGCCATCAGATTGTAGTTGAATCCATCCTTCCTCTGGCGGTTCCCATCCAACATCACAGGGGGTTCTCTTCTTTGGGACAAAACCTGCTGTCTTCTGCTGGTTGGCTTGAGCTTGATTCACTATATTGAACCATGCTTTGATTTTAGCTGTGACACTCTCTTTCATGAATGCACACCCTTCCATCACCTCTTCATTTCTTTGCTTCCAAAGTTGCCAACAGATGATCCCAAACTCTGTGGCAGTTTCATCACACTTGATGTTGTGTAGCAGCCAATCAGTGAAGTTTAGGCTTCTACTCACAGTAGACTCCTTGTTCTGAAACGTTTCCCAAATGCTCTTAGCTTTTTTGCACTTCCTGAGAATGTGCTCTATTGTTTCTTCTTCTTCATTACAGTGGTTGCACAAGTTGCAAGTTGTCAGCTTCCTTTTCTCCCTCTCTTTGTTGGTGAGGAGGCGCTCATGGGTTGCCATCCAAAGGAAGTGTTTGATCCTGCTTGGCCCTCTCCACTTCCAAACAGCTTTCCATCTTCCATCATCCTTCTGTTCCTCTATGTCAGCAACCAGCCTGTATGCTGACTTCAGGCTGAACCTTCCATCCTTCTCCAAGCCCCAAATGGTGACATCCTCTCCCAACTCAGGGTCAGGAGCATTGACTCGACTCTACTGTCACTCCAGGAATTGGCCAAGTGTAACCACTTCCTAAAGCGTAGTATAGCGGGTTTAGGTTTAATTATCAACCCGGGTCCTAGATTTGCTGACTACTCAGTGAGTTCTTGTTATCTAGCAATAAAACTGGAGTGCAAGTCTAAACTACCAAACAAACAAAGCAAGTAAACTGGTTGTATTCAGGTTAAGAGAGGTCACCCGGATATGGTTCCCCCTAGACTGCAGTTAAGCCGGATTGTAATTACCAAGTTCAGTTTCTATGACAGTTATACTGCGGAAGGTTCTTAAACAGCCTGAAGTCTCGACTAAAGGTCTTCAGACCCTCTCAATCTGACTCTCTAGCGGGCGACTAACCTCCACCGGAGTCGACAGATTGAGGCCCTAAGAACAAAACCTCCACTACCGGAGTAAATCCGGTACAGAATAGTGAGTTGGTTCCTCGACTAAAGTCACTAACTCCCTACCTTCAATCAAGGATACTCTATTAACCTAGGCAGATATTCTCATTCTAGGTTAAAGCAGAAACAACAGGAATTTGATCAGGATTCAAGTCATTCAATCATTAAAACCTCAATCGAATATAATCAATCACAGAATCAGTACTTGGGTTCATACAATCAAAGCCTAACATACAAATCTAGGGTTCTCCATACCCAGATGAATGGGAGAACTACTCCATAGAGAAGAAAGCAAAAGCAGAATCAGACACGGAATTCATACTGCAAAGGATGGATTCCTGCTTCTGGACGTTGATTGGCACTTCTCCAAGCTCAAGCTGGCCTCCAATGGTGTTGAAGATCAATCTAGGGCACTTGGGAACTCTTGCTCGTCACTTTCTCTCTCTAGGAACTGATCTCTCTCTCAAAAACTCGAATCCCCCTTCTTTGGTTCGGAATTTGGCTTAAAACCAGGAAATCCCGACTCGCACGGCCAGGGTGCACGGCCGTGCATATCACCATTCTGGCCGTGCAACACAAAACGCAGCGTGTCATTTAGTCGAACTTCAGCCCTCTCGCACGGCCAGGGTGCACGGCCGTGCGAGCTTCAGGGGTTGCCCGTGCGTGTCCTCGGCATAAGGCGCACGGCCATATTGCTCACGTGCACGGCCGTGCAGCCTCCCTGGTCTGCCCGTGCAGCTTGCTCAGCCTCTGTTTAATGCTTCGTTTCTCCCTCGTCCGAACTCCGAATCAATCGCCGTTTGATCCCAGACGCTCGTAGTCTCGTCCTCTTTCGTTTCATAACAAGCTTGCATGATTCTTTGTCCATAAAGTGAGGTAGAAATCCATTCTTCTTCAGGTCATGCCCGAGTTTCTTCTCTCGAATCGTCAATTGATCTCTGATTGACTTAAAACTTGCGCCTATGCTTCACTTTATGTGCTAGGACCTGAAATGGGACAAAGGAATACAACCTAGCATAAAATAGGCCAAAGACGCAATAATTCAAGCTCAAACAATCAAGAAACAAAGGGGAAAACATGTGCAAATACCGAGTCATCAAATCCCCCCACACTTAACTGTTTGCTTGTCCCCAAGCAAACCTAACTCAAACCAATGCAACTCTTCAGACCTCTATAGCAACAAACACCCCAGATCGTAGGTAGAGGACTTCCTAGATCATTTAGCAACTTATGAGGTCAACCGACACACAAGTCATCTCATAGCTTCTTCGGCGAGAGCACTAGTATCGAGTCGGCATCATGGCAAATAGTGAACAGAGGACAAATGAATTGTGGATGCAGAGATTCTCAAAAACAAAGGATCATGGACTCACATTTTTCAAGGTGCTCTATTTTCTTCTTGAAGATGGTTGGAACCCCTTTTCTTTCTGTTTTGCTTGTTTTCTGTTATTTTTTCCCTTTTTTTTTTCTTTCAAGGGTCCCAACCTGCTCTTACCGGCCATGCCAGGAGCGGATGTCTCGAGCCTCGTGCGGGGGAAAGACATGTAAGGGGGCTGGAGGTAGTAGGTGGAAATTGGGAACGAATTCCCGTCTCCCCTTACACACTTTCGCCCTATTCGCACGGGAGACGTTATTTTGAAGCACATTTTCGAGCGCCTGTTACTTTCAAAACATGATACAAGAGTCCATGACAGGTAGAGAATCCACAACACCACACAATTCAAGGGTCCTAAGATCACTAATTCACTCAATCAACCAACTCAATATGAAGAAGACATGAGACTTCTTAAATGCATCAACATCCTCCATAGTGCTACACTACCTCCCTAGGTTGCATATTACTATAAAGACTGTCAATTCAAAGCATACTGAGCAGGCAATTGCACGGAAACACGTACTTGGAGCCCTCAAATTTTAAAAATTTGGACAGTGGACTAGGCTCCAAGCACACAAACAGATCTAATGCAGTCGAAAGATAAACATCCCCCCACACTTAAGCTCGACATTGCCCTCAATGGAGAAGAGGGAAGGATAAGGGGAACGATGTTACCGGTATGCACGGACTGCAGGGGACTGGAAACGGGCCAGTCGGGGCAAGCACAGCCAAAGGGGAACAGAAGAGCTCAAACACAGTATGTTAGGTTCAATGGTCAGCCCAATAAAATATCATCCAAACTAAAAGAAAACAAACCAAACCCAAACCGGGTTACAATCCGACTCAAAACACAAGAAAGAAAATCAAACCGTGGTGGGGTTGCCTCCCCACAAGCGCTTCTTTACCGTCGTATTAGCTGGACGCCCATGGTGGATACTCAGGGCGGTGCAGGAACAGGTGCCTCCAAGAGCGGATCCACGTCGCTCTTGAGGTACAGCTTGAGGTTGTGGCCATGCACCCAACGGATGCGACCACTATCATCAGTCAGCTCGACCTGCCCATCTGGCAGGATGCAGGCGAGCAAGTACCCAGACGGCCAGGGTGGTCGTGGTGCAGGAGGTGGGACCAGCTCAGAGTGGTCTCCACTCTTCTTCCGTGCAGGCTTAGCAACCTGCTGCTTCGGCCGCCACTCCTCCTTGAGCTTTTTGTTCGGAGGTGTGGCTGGATGGAGTGGCGGCGAAGGACTGATAGGAGGGTCCTGCAAAATGAGAGGAGCAGCAGGATACACGACAGACTCGTGTACCTGATCAGACATAGCATGCACAGGCGTGACATCAACAATAGCACAGTGATCAAACTCAGTCACAGAAAAAGTAGCCTGTTCATTCCCAGCACGCAAGATCAGTTTTCCTTCATGCACATCAATAAGTGCCTTGGCGGTGGCAAGAAATGGCCTACCTAGAATCAAAGGTACATCCACATCCTCATTTACATCCAGAATAACAAAATCAACAGGATATGTGAATGCACCAACATGAACAAGCAGATCCTCTATAACACCCCTAGGATGCACAATGGAACGGTCAGCGAGCTGAATGCTCATCCTAGTAGGGCTAAGTTCACCTAAGTCTAGCTTCTTAAACAACTTATATGGCATGATGTTTATGCTAGCACCTAGGTCCGCCAAGGACTTGCCTACATGCATGCTGCCAATAGTAAGAGGGATAGTAAAACTCCCTGGATCCTTGCGCTTCTCGGGCAGCTTGTTCTGCAGGATAGCAGAACACTCCTCGCTCAGCATCACTGTCGAGAGATCCCCAAGTTTCTTCTTGTTGGTGCAGATATCTTTCATGAACTTGGCATACTTGGGCATCTTCGACAGTGCCTCCATGAACGGTATGCTGATGTTGAGCTGCTTCAACATTGCCATGAACTTGGCAAACTCAGTCTCCAGCTTGTCCTTGTGTAGGCGAGTGGGGAAGGGAAGCTGGGGCACATGCTCCTTAACCACTGGTTGTGGCTTGGGAGCAGGGGCTTCCTTCTCCACCCGCACTTCTGCATAGTCGGCTGGAAGTGCTGAAGCAGGTAGTGGTTCCTCCTGTCTGGCCGGGACAGGATCAGCAGATATGACCTTACCGCTCCTGGTAAAAATGGCATCCAGCTGCTGATGCTGGTGGGGATCTCGCGGATTCGGAACAGTGGTGGCAGGCAAAGTCCCCGGTGCCCTGGTGGTGTTTTGGCGGGCCAAGATGCCCACATGGGTCTGCAGATCCTGCAAAATGGCACCCTGGTTCAGCTGACCTGCCTCCAGTGAGGCTACACTCTGGTCCAACCTCGTGATAGTCGCCTGAGTGCTCGTCATGAATGAAGCTAGAATGTTTTCCAGCTTCGTCATCCTGTCATCTGGGGCTGGAGCTGCTGCTGGCTCGGCAAACTGGCGCTGGGGCTGCTGGAATGGCTGCTGTGGAACTAGCCCCTGTCGAGTCTGGTAGGGCTGCCTCTGCTGAAAACCACCTGCTGGTGCTGGGAAACCAGGTGGTTTAGTGGTGTTGCTGCTCCAGGCAAAGTTGGGATGCTGGCGCCACCCCTCATTATATGTGCTACTGTATGGATCGAGGCGCCTCGCATTGGCGATGAAGGCCAACTGCTCCTGGGGTGTGGTAGACTCCCTCATAGCCTGGCAGTCCTCCACTAGGTGATTGGAGCTCTCACACCACTGACACTGAGCAACTGGAGGTGTAGCCAAACCTCTGCCCGGAATCAGACTGTTAGGCTGCTTCAATGTCTGCACTAGCTCAGCTACCTGCTGCTCGAGCCCGGATCTGGTCTCCATGGCGTGCACACCACGGTCCCGGGACTGTCTGCCTCGGCTACCCTGTCCCCAAGAATGATCTCTGGCAGCCAAAGTACTGATCATCTGGTTCAGCTCGGGTGGAGTCTTGGTAAGAATATCCCCTCCTGGGCATAAAGACTCAATCACCCTCTGGCTATCTGGGGAGAGAGCGCTGTAGAAGTTCCCCACGGTGAAAGCATCACTAAAGCCATGGTGGGGGCACTGCCAGAAGTAGCCCATGTACCGCTCCCAAGCATCACGGAGTGACTCATCTGGCTCCTGGCGGAAATGAGTGATCTCCCGCTGAATCTCTGTAGTCTTCGATGCCGGATAGTACCTGTGCACGAACTTGTCAGCCAGATCGTCCCAAGAGGTGATGGACAATGAGGGCTGGGTCTCCAACCACCTCTTAGCATTCCCCGCCAGAGAATGGGGGAAGAGATGAAGGCGGATCGCATCATCCGGGACACCGTTCAGCTTGAACCCGTTTGTCAGCTACAGAAAACGGGAAAGATGCACCCTGGCCTCCTCATTCTTCAAGCCATGGAACTGGATAGAAGATGTGATGAGCTGAATCCAGCATGGCTTGATCTCAAAGTTGTTTGCTGGGATCGGCGGGTAGAGGATGACCGGGCGGATGTCAGCAATCCGCGGAGTGTAGTAGTACTCCAGGGTGGGACCCGGCTGCGGTGGATGATGAGCTCCATGATCCTGGGGTATGGGGTTGTTCCCCAGGACCTGATTCACCGGGGGAACCTGCTGTGGATTCCCCTGGTGCTGATTGTAGTCTCCGTCCATTCCGTGCTCTTCTTCAGAATCGCTGCTCAGGTGGCCGTCTATGCGCTCTTCCGTAGCCAGTCTAGCTCGCTGTTGTCTCCTGAGCTGGCGACAGGTGCGGTCAATCTCTGGATTCAACGGCAGTAAACCTCCCGACTGGCTACGGGTCATGCACTACCTGCACACACTCAAGCAACAAACCCGTGAAGGCACAAGTGGGACAAAGAAAACAAAGCAAAAAGAAAAGCTAAATTAACAGAAATCACTTTTCTTCAACAACCTAGCCGTCCCCGGCAACGGCGCAAAAAACTTGACTCGACTCTACTGTCACTCCAGGAATTGGCCAAGTGTAACCACTTCCTAAAGCGTAGTATAGCGGGTTTAGGTTTAATTATCAACCCGGGTCCTAGATTTGCTGACTACTCAGTGAGTTCTTGTTATCTAGCAATAAAACTGGAGTGCAAGTCTAAACTACCAAACAAACAAAGCAAGTAAACTGGTTGTATTCAGGTTAAGAGAGGTCACCCGGATATGGTTCCCCCTAGACTGCAGTTAAGCCGGATTGTAATTACCAAGTTCAGTTTCTATGACAGTTATACTGCGGAAGGTTCTTAAACAGCCTGAAGTCTCGACTAAAGGTCTTCAGACCCTCTCAATCTGACTCTCTAGCGGGCGACTAACCTCCACCGGAGTCGACAGATTGAGGCCCTAAGAACAAAACCTCCACTACCGGAGTAAATCCGGTACAGAATAGTGAGTTGGTTCCTCGACTAAAGTCACTAACTCCCTACCTTCAATCAAGGATACTCTATTAACCTAGGCAGATATTCTCATTCTAAGTTAAAGCAGAAACAACAGGAATTTGATCAGGATTCAAGTCATTCAATCATTAAAACCTCAATCGAATATAATCAATCACAGAATCAGTACTTGGGTTCATACAATCAAAGCCTAACATACAAATCTAGGGTTCTCCATACCCAGATGAATGGGAGAACTACTCCATAGAGAAGAAAGCAAAAGCAGAATCAGACACGGAATTCATACTGCAAAGGATGGATTCCTGCTTCCGGACGTTGATTGGCACTTCTCCAAGCTCAAGCTGGCCTCCAATGGTGTTGAAGATCAATCTAGGGCACTTGGGAACTCTTGCTCGTCACTTTCTCTCTCTAGGAACTGATCTCTCTCTCAAAAACTCGAATCCCCCTTCTTTGGTTCGGAATTTGGCTTAAAACCAGGAAATCCCGACTCGCACGGCCAGGGTGCACGGCCGTGCATATCACCATTCTGGCCGTGCAACACAAAACGCAGCGTGTCATTTAGTCGAACTTCAGCCCTCTCGCACGGCCAGGGTGCACGGCCGTGCGAGCTTCAGGGGTTGCCCGTGCGTGTCCTCGGCATAAGGCGCACGGCCATATTGCTCACGTGCACGGCCGTGCAGCCTCCCTGGTCTGCCCGTGCAGCTTGCTCAGCCTCTGTTTAATGCTTCGTTTCTCCCTCGTCCGGACTCCGAATCAATCGCCGTTTGATCCCAGACGCTCGTAGTCTCGTCCTCTTTCGTTTCATAACAAGCTTGCATGATTCTTTGTCCATAAAGTGAGGTATAAATCCATTCTTCTTCAGGTCATGCCCGAGTTTCTTCTCTCGAATCGTCAATTGATCTCTGATTGACTTGAAACTTGCGCCTATGCTTCACTTTATGTGCTAGGACCTGAAATGGGACAAAGGAATACAACCTAGCATAAAATAGGCCAAAGACGCAATAATTCAAGCTCAAACAATCAAGAAACAAAGGGGAAAACATGTGCAAATACCGAGTCATCAAGCATCAACTCTTGCAATAGTCAAGATAACTTCATTAGGGAGATATTGTCCTAGTTTATTCCAGTCCCACTTACCCTCCTCAGTCACTCAGTCAGCAACAGTCGAGTCCAGATCCTCTTCATTGATGTCAGTGGTGGCAAAATCAGCAAGGATCGTGCTGTGATCAATCCAAGGTTGCTTCCAGAAAAGGGTGTTCCTCCCATCCCTGATGCTCCAGCATGTGGCCTCTCTCATCAGCCTCATTCCTCTAACTATGGCTTTCCATAGATTAGAGTGATTGCTTTTTTTCATAGTGGTAATGTCTCCCCCCTGGTGCTTAAAATATTTCCCCTGCCGGACCTGAACCCACAAATCAGAGGCATTATTAAGCATATGCCACCCAAGCTTGATCATATAAGCCATGTTCATATGCCTAGCAGATTTAAGACCTAAACCCCCTTGACTCTTAGGCTTACAGATATTGTCCCAGGCAACAAGATGAGTTTTCCTTTTGCCCTCAATGGAACCCCAAACAAAAGATCTGACCTTCCTATCAATAGCATCACAGATGGATAAAGGGAGGCAAGTGGTTTGCATAGCATAGGTTGGGAGTGCATTGAGCACTGAAACAGCAAGGGTAACCCTGCCAGCCAAGGAGAGGGTTCTTGCTTTCCAGCTAGTGAGCTTTTGGTCAATCCTATCCAGGATGAACTTATAGGTACTCTTAGTAATTCTACCATGTAACACAGGGACCCCCAGGTATCTGCCTAAGTCTGTAGTGGCTTGGATTCCCATTCTATTACAGATATCATTCCTATCCTTGTTCTTAACATTTCTAGAGAAAAAGACCCTAGATTTCTCTTTACTGATCATTTCCCCAAAGGCCAGGCAGAAATTATTCAGACATTCCATCACAATGTCAGCTTGAATAATACTGGCTTCAGCAAAAAAGACCAGGTCATCAGCAAAGAAAAGGTGGGAGAGGGCAGGACCCCCAGGGGAAAGCCTAACTGGTTTCCATTTGTGCTTCTTAACTTCACTACCAATATAGTGGCTCAGTCTTTCAATACAAAGAGTAAAGAGGTAGGGAGAGAGAGGGCATCCCTGTCTGAGGCCTCTGGATGGAGTAAAGCTGTCAGTTTCCCCTCCATTCCACAGCACCTGGTAGCTTGTGGAGGTCACACACTCCATAATCCACTTGATACACAAGTCAGGTAATCTGGCAGCCTGCAGAGTTTCATGGAGAAACTCCCACCCAATCCTGTCATATGCTTTGGCCAAGTCCACCTTGAGCACCATATAGCCCTTTTTGCCACTTTTCCTTGCCAAAGAGTGGATGGTTTCCTGCATGATAATGATATTGTCAGTTATATGTCTCTTAGGAATGAAACTGGACTGGTTTTTGTTAACCAGTTTGGCCATGAGGGGTTTAATTCTATTGGCAATCAGTTTAGCTATGACTTTATACCCTACATTACAAAGGCTAATGGGTCTAAACTGGTTCATAGAGGTAGGGTGATCCACTTTGGGTATCAGGGTAATCAGGGTGTCATTGAGAACTCTAATTTTGCTAGGGCATTGGAAGCAGGAGATAATGAACCCAGCAAAGTCCTTCCCAACCACATCCCAGCATTTCTGGTAGAAGATGGCCTGGAACCCATCCTTACCAGGTGCTTTTAAACCATTCATTTCCTTAATGACAAGTCTGACATCCTCAACAGTAGGCAGGGAAGAAAGAGTAACAAGCAGGTTATCATCAAAGTGTGGAAAATCAGCAGGAGTGGAACACCCCAAAGGAAGAAGGCTTAGTGAACAAGTGAAGAAAATACTCCCTGGCCATGGTGAGGAGGGTGTCAGCATTAGTGATCCAGTCTCCTTGGTCGTTCTTCAGGCATGTGATTATGTTCCTCTTCCTCCTGCTAAGTGTACTGGAGTGGAAGAATTTAGATTTCAGGTCTCCAAAAACTACCCAGTTAGTTCTGGATTTCTGGATCCACAACATCTCTTCTTGCCAAAGGGTGTCCTCCAGCTCTTCCCTGGTCTTTTGTTCCTGATTGAGAGAGTTAGTGGTAGCTTTTCTCTCATTAAGAGCTTCCAGGGATTTGAGCTCATTCAGTAGTATTCTTTTCCTCTGAAAAATGTTCCCATAGATCTCTTTATTCCATTTCTGGAGATGGATTGAGAGCCATTTAAGCGAGGAGGGGAAGTCTTCATAACTCTTCCATGTGGAGCACAGGAAATCAGGGAAGTTTTCATGAGCCAGCCACGAGGCAAGAAACTGAAACCTCCTTTCCAACCTCTTCTTAGTTTTTTGAGTCTCTGTGCAGGTCAATATAGGCCTGTGGTCAGACTTGATCTTGGGTAGGTGCAAGGTGGAAGTGCTTGGAAACTTGTGGTGCCATCTCAGGTTGCAAATACTTCGATCAAGTCTCTCCTTTATACCTGAATGCCTTGTAAACCAAGTAAACTTTGGACCAGAGAACCCAAGGTCCATCAGTCCACAGTCCTCCATACACTCATTGAAGGCTTTAACTTTGGCAAAATTAAACCCAGCCCCTCCTTGCTTCTCACATGCTCTAGAAATGGAGTTGAAGTCTCCTGTGAGAATCCATGGGAGATCAGTACATCTCTCCATTCTTCTCATAGCATCCCACAACTCTACTCTGTCATGTTCATTAGGGATGGCATACACTACAGTGATCTGGAACACATCAGCATTGAGGGAGGAGCACTTCAAGTTGATGTACTGTTTGTGGTTATCAACTTCCCTTGTCAGGATCTCACTCCTGTTCCAAAGCACCCATATTCCCCCACTGAACCCAGCAGCAGCTGAGATGGCCCAAGTATCATATCCCATGGACTTGATCATTGAAAGAGCATCTCTCCCACTGATTCTGGGTTCCAGAATACATACAATATCAGGTTTGTGATTCTCCTTGTACAAATTAAAGGTAGGCAAGAACTTAGGGTGTTTAGCACCCCTGCAATTCCAGGAAAAAACTTTAACCATAAGTGAAGATGATTAAAGCAGTCCAACTTTTCCCTTTGGTGGTACAACTCCAAAAACAGAAAGCAGGGAAAGATTAGTGAAAGGCAAAAAGGGGGACAAAAAACAAAAGGTTATTATTGGGCTTCTTTCCTTCTTTTTCTTTCCTTATGTCCAATCATTGTAAGCCCTCTCTTTTTTACCCATCTCACTCAAAAGAAAAATCTCAACTCTTACATAACAATAGTACAATTATAATGAAAAATTAAAATAAATATGGGTTTCTGTTCTCACTTCTCACCAGTGTTATTAAAGCCGAGCCGAGCCGCTCGGTCCGACCGGTAAAACCGCCACCCGATCACAAAACCGGCTCGGAATAGTCTAAAAATCGCTCCGGTTTTATGTAGTGGTTGGCGAGCGGCCGAGGCGGTTAGTCGTTCGAGCTGATCGAGCCGGTCGTCCGGTTTTTGCCATTCAGCCACTAAATTTAATTAAAAAAATTGTAGAAAATTGAAAATTGAAATAAACCAAAAACGTCGGGCTCTCAAATTGAATCCTTATTTCCATTTCACAATTTCGAAAGAAAGAGATGAGCTCTGATTAAGAAATGTCCACTATTTATAGTGATAACGTTTATTAGATACCGGTTCTCTAACGATTTTTAAACGGTCTAATGCCGGTTGGACCGTTAAAGTGCGAGCCGTTCGCATTACCAGATCATGCTCCGGTTCGATTCTGACAACATTGCTTCTCACCCTCTACTTACAAAGTACAACAAATCTCCCCTGTCTGTCTGTCTACAAACCCTACCCCAATTGTCTCGAGAGTGATTCCATGGATTCCTGAAATCCACTGTTCAACTCTTTCCTTTTGAAGTCTTATTAATTCTTTTTAGCATTGTGGGAGGTCAGGAGGAGGTGGGAGTATCGACTCATTAGGACCTTTCCCATTCTCCACCACGAATGCCATCTTCAATCCCCATGTCGTATGCACCTCCAAATGGCAGTGCAAAAACCATACCCCTAAACCCACATCACAACAAAACAAAACACGATTAACTCCTAAGTTCGTAAATTCTACTTGATACCAAGAAATTACACATTGATCATGAAATCCATACATTTCGATCGTATATTTCAAAGTGCGATTGATGAATGCCTACATTGTTTTACCTGGATTATCAGCTCGGAATCGGATCGCGGTCCATCCTGCGGTGGGGACACTCATTGTGTTCCTCTCCACCGGATCAACCAAATTGAAGCTGCTCGGATCTTTACCCTTGTCGAAATTCCCCAAGCCTTTTCCCACCACGAAGAAATTGAATCCGTGGAGATGAATTGGATGGCTCTCCGGCGCGATCAAGCTAGTCCCCTGAAGGACGACCTCCACGGTGTCGTTAAACCCTAGCCGATACACCTTCGTCCCGTTCGTGGTCTGCAAATTCGCCGGCGGGTTCCCCGTGTAATTGTAAGGCGACGGCGGGTTCGCCGGGAAATCGTAGGTGAAGATCCCCTGTAATTTGAAGTAATGGGCCTGGAGCAGAGCCACGGTGGGGAGGACGAAGGAGACGTTGTTGATGTTGGCGACGGTCTTGGTCCCGTTCACGCAGGTCGGGCAAGGGTTGATTCCGACGCCGATTGCGAAGAGGAGGGAGTGGTCGACGGTTTGGGGCACGGCGGCGGGGTAATTTGGGGAATTGAGGCTCCTGAGTCCGCCGGCGAAGGCGGCGGTGACGGCGGTGGCGTTGATTGGTGGAGTGGCGGTGAGGTGCGGTGGGGAAAAGGGTTGGATCCCCTTGTAGCGGAGGAATCCGACGGCGGTGGCGTTGTCGACGGGGACGACCGTGTCCATGAAGGGGGAAACGGCGATTGTGTATTTTCCGGCGGTTTGGTCGGCGGTGAGGAGGGCGTTTGTGGTTTGCCCCGGCCCGAGGAAGATTGTGTCGGTGGTGAAGGGCTTCGTGTAGGCGGCGTCGGTTTCGACGACGGTGAGTTTGTGGCCGGCGATTTTGAGGAAGAGCTCGTCGTTGACCGCCGCGTTTACTATCCGGAGCAGGTAGGTTTTTCCATTTGCGACGTGGAGACTGTACCCTGCACGCGCCGTGAGGAACCTTTGGAAGGTAAATTACAGAAATGATACCCTAACTAAGAAATTCCTACAATCGCATCACTGTACTTCATACTTTCCACTCAAACGGTCATCAAACTAAAGAACATAGTAACCAAGTACCACTCTTTCCTGTTAATGCATCAATCGTCAGATTTGGATGTGAGAATTAGGAATGTTCAAATGATAAATTGCGAGTTTGTTACCCATGATATATTTTTCTTAATGTTTCAAGTTTCAACTATAGTCTATATGAAATTAAATATGAAATTAAATGAGTCTATATGAGTATCGAATTATGTTGAACTTAATTCATACCGGAGGAAGAGCAACCAAAGACAGGACCAGGATCACCATTGATGGTATGAGAATCCGAAATGTTGGGTGGCATCCCAGTCGTTGTGGCCTGCTTCACTACACTTTCAACATCCGCTTTCCACCATTCTCCTAATTACTTTCATGATTAATTTTACACAATCGGTAAAAAAAAGAACATTCAAGCATATACATAACAAGGTTAAGAAGAAGAAAAAGCTCTCACCAAGTACAATGACCTTTTCGCCATCAGGTTTTGGGAAAGGATAAGGAACATTTTTCTTAGGAAGTATGACAATGGCTCCATACACAGTTGCCCTTAGCCACGAAATATGTGCATGCCAAAGCAATGTGCCTCTCTGCCCTGTCAGCGTGAAGTTGTACAAGAAGCTCTTGCCACTTTGGATTGGACATTGGGTCACATAAGCCGGCCCGTCAGACCACCCGGTCCGAAGCTGCCTGACCCCATGCCTGCAAATCATCTCATCGACCAGATCGTCTCAATAACTCGACACTCTTAGTGTAAGTTACTGCGCAAGCGAAAGTTGTTTCGTTACGACGTTACCAGTGAATGGTGATGTTGTTAGGGACATGGTTATGAACCCTAACAAGGACATTGTCACCTTCCCTAGCGTAAAGGGTTGGCCCTGGCACCTTCCCATTAATGGACACCACTGACTTGCTTGAACAAAGCCTCGTAGTGTTTGTCGACACCACCTGCATTATTAACTCACAGCATCTCAAAGCCAGCCATAGATGGACTATCTATTCATGCAGAAACCAAACCAGAAGTAAGTTGTACTTACGTTGAATGTGTACTTTCGAACCGTAGAATGGACCGATGCTGGAAGAAGGACGACAATCACTAACAGCAGCATTGATCGAAACCCCGAATCACCCATCGTTTCGATCTCGTTGTTTTTCGCTCTGGCTCTTCCCCTGCAGGCTGCTCTGGAGTTTTCTACTGCAACGAAAAGGAAGTGTAAATGTTTCTGCCTGTTTAGGAGGAAGTGCAAGTGTGATTGACCACCTTATAATATGTATATGGTTATGGGAATTGGGATGTGCTTTGATGGAATGTCTTTTCAACTTGTTAGGTGAATGACAGCAGCCTTCAGCTCTTATTGTAGAGAGCCAGCCCTATGAAGCAATCCTAGGCGGTTCTCCCCATTTACAGTTCTGTCCTATAATAATGCTCTCTGTTAGGGTTTCCTTGCATACTACACAACATGTTCTGTTCTTTTCTTGTGTATGGATCAATTTGCCTGAAACTTACAGCCCACCTGCAATTTCTTTTTGTTTTTTCGTTCTTCTTGTTCTTCATATTGTCATCTGAGTGTGACTTAGTTGCTTGTAAAGTCATGGTGTATGTACATGTAGCTATCTGAGTTGATCATTTGCTGGATGGAATTTTTTTTCTTTTTGGGAAGAGTTCGAAGTTAACTGTAGTTCTTCAGAAGTTGATAATTGGGTTGCTTGGATTTCAAGTACTTGTTTGGTGCCTTCTATTCTCTTGACTAATAGATATTATTAACCAGAAATTTGAAGAGATATATCGTTGAAGGAACAAGTTAAATACGTATCGAGCTTTATTCCTACCAATGAAATCTCGGTTATTGATGGAGACATTTCTTGAAAACAGAACTCAAAAGTCTATTTCATTCTATTTATTTGTACACATGTGTATGTTTTCATTTGCCTGAGTGCAAAATTCTGGAAAAGAAACCTACACTTCCAGAAGCCTATGAATTGAAAGCAGACATTAGATGGGGATTGAGGTGGCAAGTAATGATCCATAAGGGGTAGTGAGGAAAAGAAAACAGAAAAAGAAATTAAAAGGTGCCAAAAATACAGATGTTGTGGTTAGGAAATGGCTTTCAGGATCCACTGTTTTTGGCTTATAAACTTTATACACTTCTCTGCACCTTCTAACACGTTTTCTCCTCCAAGGGCTTTGCCTTTTTTTCCCAGGACATCCAACAAACACAAGTTCATGAAACAACATGCACCTGTTGTCATGAGATATCACTGTTTATGGAAATATATACAGAACATAATTCTCATTAATGTATTGTGCTCGGCCTGTTTGAAACACGAACCCAGAAGTCTGACATGTGTGCAGAGCGACTCGAATGATGAGTAAACCAGTAAAAAGCACAAGGAAGATGTGATTTCTTGTTTGGCTATTGCTCAGACTATGTCTGCTCCAGATTGAATGGCATTACCAATCCTAGCAATGGAAGATTTGTAAACAAACCCCAAGAAGTCTATAATGTCATCTTGAGATACACCTTCCAGAGGATCTATCTCAAATGACCACACAACTAGTGTACTTGATCCATGGTTCCCATAATCGACAAGCTTGAGCTTGTTCACAGAACCGTCCAACCCAACATTGCTGGCTTCCTTCTTGTAAGCATAGCTGTGGGATGATGGATCAATGGAGATCAACTTCTCCTTGATCCATGACCTTTCACCATCTTCTTGAGGGAACATGAATCCAGACACTAACCGGACATAACCCACCTGACCTTCTTCCCCAGCAAGGTCTGTGCACCTTTCAACCATTGGCATCCACTCTGGCAGTCTCTTGGTCTGTGAAACCATGGCCCAGACTTTGTCTATAGTTGCATCCACGATTGCACTCACATTTCCGTGCCATTTCAAGTGTCCGGATTCGAGTTCCTGTGATCAGGGAAATGGATAAGAGAAAATTGTTTGCACTATCATTGGTTCATCATTAGTTTGTCAAGCAAAAAGAACATTACCATGGTTGTCTTGGTCCTTATCTGATACCTAGCTTGCAACTTTTATCTCTGTGTTGGCCTGAGTAATGTCCTGGACTTGGTAGGTAATCCTTATTGATGTTGGAAACTAGGTAGCTAGAAGACAGAAAAAAATTGATATGCACAAAGAAATACATAGTTTATGCTGATAAAAGCAGCATATGGGTTGGTAAATGTCCAAAAGGACAAAAACGATGGGAAATGATGGAAGATCCAAGGCAAAAAACCCACTTTGGACATTTGCATGAATGGCTATGCGGATCTTGTATCATAGAGTACCATTTGGATTTGTACATGATTCATGTAGTAGGATAATTGTTTTCTTGCCTTGGAAACTAAGTTTCTGCTGCTCCATGAATCCAGCTTCTCATCATCGTAACTAACTCCAACCTTAGAGCTAAAAAGCCATTTACCCATTTTTAGCTCTTTTTTTGTGCTCCAACCCACATTATTTTGGGAGCTAAAAATGGGTATTGGTGAATTGGAAACCAAATTTAGTTTTCAAAAAGGTGAAAAAGCCAAATTTGGCTAGAGAAAATGGTGGACCCGCGGTGGGTCCTCTTTTATTCTTTTTATTTTTTGTTTTTTCTGTGGGATTTTCTCATTGGTTGATTGTGTTGTTTTTTCTTTTTGCTTTTTTTGTGTGGTATTTTGTCATTGGTTGATTGTGTATGTTGTTTGTTTAATTGTTTGAAAGAAGATATGAAATGTTATATGTTTAATTGGTATTTTTTCATTGGTCCCGAAGTTAACGGTAACAAAATAATGATTAATTTTCCGAAACTTTTTTTGTCTTGGAATAAAAAAAAATTACATCGAAAATTTTGTTTTCAAAAGTAATAACTAACTATAGAAAATTAAAGTGAAATATGAAAATTAGAGGTCAAATAAGTATGCTTTATTGTAATAAATTGGAAAAAGGTAAGTAGGAAGCTAAATTTAGCATTGTGTAGGGTTGGAGTGAAAATGGGGTTTGGGGAGCTAAAAAGCCATATTTGACTATTTGGGTAGCCAAATTTGACTTTACGGGTTGAAGTTAGTCAACAAGACACAACACCACACATTTGCCTCCCTGGTCAGTTCTTACTTAGTCAGCTAGGTGTGAAGGCTTGCCCTTGGCATATAATTCTGTATGTTTTAAGCCAACAAAACATAACAGAGGGACAAAATACCAGATCATTTGCATTACACTTCCATCATATGTGAAACCATTTCAGTTCCATTCGCAATATGTGATCTGGCTGATATGCTAGTTATTGAGGCAGGCTGTGTACATGATAGTTTAAAGTTTCTTGCCCAACAAAGCAGGAGTAGCTTGTAGTTGTATTGGAGATGTCTTAAGCAGCAGCACCAACAGGAACACCACCAGCCTCCTTGAGCCTTGACTTCCCGTATAGAGTTTCTTCAAACCGAATGATCTCCTGTTTGGACCCGTAAGCAACTTGAGTTCTGTCGTCGAGTCCAATGATCTCCTTGTCTAGAATAGATTGGTGGCCATCGCTGCTGTAACCTCCGGCATTCTCAATTAAGAGCCCCAGTGGAGCTACCTCGAACAGCAACCTCAGCTTCGCCTTGGTAGTTGGCGATATGACGTTGGTGAAGACACCTTTCTCTTTCACAATGATCTGGTTCACATCCGGCACCATTCCTCCTGTGTATCTCAAGGTGTACTTCTCCTTGACATAGTAGTTGATCAGCTGCAAATGTTCAAATGAGACAGAACAAAGTTTTTAGTGAAAGAGACAAATCCAGAAATGTGATTTCATGGATGTGGAGGAAAAGGAGGAGAAACCTTGTCATAATCAGGATTGTCAAATGTTGCTCTCAAGTTGCCAGGTGAGAATAGTTTTCCTTCGCCGATTTCAGTGGTTTCCTTCACATGCTGCCATTTTCCTGTAACAGTGATTATAAACTTTGAGAGAGTCACCATTGATTTTGTGAATAAAAACATTGAGAAGAAGGCCCAAAAAAGCAAACCTTCATCCAGAAGGAGGAACTCATGAGTGCCAGGGTAGCCCTTGATTGCAAGAACATAAGTAGTCCGAGGACCATAAACCCCCATGGCAGCAGCCACTTGATCCCCACCTGTAATCCCAGTTAGTTTATCTCCTGGCCACACTCCAAAGATGGTGCCAACTGCAAAATTTGTGTCCACAATGCTCGATCCATCCAGTGGATCAAAGGCAACACTGAATCCACCTGATCGATACCCCCGAAAATCAAATCAGTCTAGATTGTAGTTTAGAAGAAACCCTTATTAATGCAGAGGTTATATACCTTCAACTGGTCCTCCCATGTCTTGAAGCTCAGGTACTTCCTCAGAGCAAGCATATTTACAGAAGTGAGAGTGCTCCAAGGCCTATAGATAACTAATAATGAGAAGCAAAAGGGAAAGGTAGGAGCTTGGAAGTCTCAGCAGTCCAAAATTGATAAAACTTTTGTTCAGAAGAAGTAGTTACCTCAAAGAGCACCTTGTTAGCAAGCATATCAACAGCAAGCTGCTCATCTCCAAAGGAGTTGACACACGCAGTTCCTCCACAAGATGCTGTCCTTACTTTGAACCCGATTGTCCTCATTGCCTCTCCCATGCAAGTCAGCACCCTGATCAGTCCCTTGTCTGTGGTTGCCTTTTTCAAAAACTCTTCCTATTCACACAAACAAGAGATGTTTTTCAGGTTCCTTAATTAAAAAACAACAAGAAACTTTAACCCCAATTAGCTGGTCTTTTTGGCTTACCAGACTGTCACCAATCTCACTTCTGGTGATGAGAGCAGTGCTCTTTGCCTTGGAAACCTTAAATGACGATGAAGATCTTGGAACCAGCCTCAAAGCTTCTCCAAACAATGAGCTTGACTTCAGGCTCTGCATGAAAATTACAGCACAGCCTGTTAAGACCCTGAAGTTGGCAACTAATGACTTCAAAAAGCAGCTAATGATGTTCCACACCATGAAAGAGCCTAGTTGATTAAAGGTAAGTAAAAAGTACCCTGGAGCTGAAGGAAGGAGAGATGGATGAAGGGGACACCAAAGATTTTGAATGCTGTGAAGGCATGAATGCCCCACGACCACAGTAGGCTATACCAGTCTCCATGATAGATAGCTAGATGATCTTCCCCCAAAAACTTGTGTCTAGATCCCAAAAACAGAACTGGAAGGAAACTTAATCTGTTGATGGCTGGCGTCTTCCAGTTGCTTTGCAAGTTGGTTTGTTGCGGGAGTGGGGAGATAGATAAGCAGTTAACAGTGTAATGACACGTGGATGATGGATGGGGGCTGCTGATATGAATGGATAGCGCGGGCAGCTTAGATTGCCATCGCTCAATGTATTTGTGGCTCTGCTTTTACCACTTTCCCATGGAGATAATGCAACCCAGTATTAACAACACTAACATAGCAGTAATGCTTCTATTTTCTACACTTGAATGCAAATAAAGAATCAAAATTTAGGTTTAGCACCCGAGTCTTCGCACTTGGCTCTGCACATAATTGGATCTGAATTGGCTGGATGAGCATCCTTTCCTTATAAACTTACCCTCTTAACCTATATCACCAAACTAACTCAATTCAATTGCACCAAACATCATGCAAGAGCAATGTCTGTGACAATTTTGCCAGGGATCTTGGTACCACGGTATGATATCATCTAACCAGGCCATCAATTTCCATAGCAAACTTTTGGGTTTCCTCATCTTCGGCGCAGAGATGCTTGCATGAGCTATACAGGCGAATAAGAAGAAGAGAGGAGGGAGGGAGGCATTCGAAGGGAAAACCAAACTTGGCTTTCGAAGTCCGGGGGCTGACGGTGGAGCCAAGCCAACGATGAGAAATGGCTGCCGCCGTTGAGAACCCTAGAAGAAGCGCCGACCACCATTGACGGAAGATCGAAAAGAAAGGGATAGATAGCTCGAGTTCAAGATCAAAAGTATATATGCTGTAGAGAGCGTAGAACGATTTGTCTGCCACTTCTTTTTCCTTCTTTTCTCCCGGCGGCGCGGAGTCTGCTCTTCCGTCGTGCTAAAAAAACCTAACTTGTTTTCCCGTGGTGGTCCCACTATGATTAAAAGTATGGGCTACGATTGGGTAGTGGGCTGGGCTATCGACGTCGGTAGTTATGTCCAGTTCGTCTAATTTTTGCTGGAATTGGGCTTTTCCTTAATCCCAAATGTTATCATCTCCCAGAGGCCAGAGGGTGAGGTGGATGTTATTAGTCGGGTTAATTGCACCGGGTGCCATTTAACTTTTATAATTGTTGCACGTTGACCACTATGATTAGTTTCGTTGCAACTAAAGCATTTAAGTCAAACTTCGGTAGCAACGTCAGCATATCCGTCACGATACGTAACGGCAAGCGCTAAATGGCACTTTCCCATGACGGGCTGGCAATCCATGTCAGCAAACGTGCTGAGTCATTTCCACATCAAACCCTGGGCCCACGAAGATGCAAAAAACACAAGCTGATCGTCCGACTTCTCGTCTCCCTGCTCTCTATTCAAACAGAAATTCAGAAACTAAAAAAGCAAGGTCGGCTGAGAAAGACGGCAGAGAGAAGAAACAGATTCAGCGAAGACAATATTGAGAAGATTGGCGGCGGTCGATTTAGAAAGACGGCGGACAGAAGAAAGGTAAACAAAAAATTTCCGGTTGCCATTGTTTCTGGTAACTGAATAAGACCCCTGCAGCATGCCATTCTTTCTTTCTTCCTCTAACTTCAGATTATGTTTGTTGTTCGACTTGTTCTTAGGGATTTAGAACGAGAGGCTGAAGGATATAGTTTGTTGATGGCTTAAAATAGGTGAGTGAATAAAGAGATTTTTACCTGATCATGTGATGCTCTGTTCGTGAGTTAAATTCTGAGTTTGTTCCTGTTTGGTGAATATTTAAGTTTTCTATTGTTTGAACTTTCAATTTATTATTGTAACAGATTATAGCACTGCAAGCTGCTGTTTCCTTCTGTTTTAGTTTGAAAAATGAGTCCAACGATCAGGGAAGTAGGAGACAGTGAGCTCATTCCGACATATGGTGAGTTTTGATGTTTGATTGCTGCAAATTTCTTCAGTTGCTGCATATTTGTTGCTGCAAATTTCTTCAGTTGGTGCACATGTTGTTACTGCAAATTCCTTCAGTTGCTACAGTTACATTGACAATTATTATGTTTATCTTAGGAGTCAATGATGACAATTTCACAATCGAGCTCCATTATAAAGGAGAAATGGTGTATATAGTCGACAAAGACCTATGTTATTTCGGCGGTGAACTGAAATATTTGGATTGGATTGATCCAGATTGTTTATCTTTGATGGAGCTGGATGGATATCTTGTAGATTTCGGTTATATTGAAAGTGTCAGATTGATGGAGGAATATAGGACAGTTCATGGTTGGACATATTATTGGAGAATTCCAGGTGAGCAGCTAAAGGAAGGGTTACATGAACTGACCTGTGACAAGGACATTCTAGATATGGCTACCAAGGTTATTCAAGATACCAAATTTGTGGAGGTGTACCTAATCAATAAAGAAGAACTAAGTAAAGCTAGACTAGAAGCAGATGGAGAAGAAAATGACAGAGAAAGTGACCAAGACATTCTGCAGATCAACATGACCAATGAAAGAGAAGGTTGCAGAATGGGAACAAGTGAGAATGATCAGGGACCAAGTTTATATGATAAGGATGAATCAAATTTGATTCATGTTGATGGCAGGCTATATAATGAAAGCAGGGAGACTGATATGGATTGGCAAATTAATGTTTGGGAGACTGGCAGAGAAGGTGACACTAGGAAATCAAATGAGATTCATGTTGATGGCAGGCTAGATAGTGATCAAGAACCAGGTTTGAATGATAATGATGAATGTAGTGATCAGGAACCAGGTTTTGATAATAATGGTGATGGTGACAACCATCACATTTTTATTGATGATGCGTTTGATGGAGATACTGAGGATGTCGTGTATGATTCAGATTATCTGGGCAGTGTCCACTCGGATGATGAAGCACAAAGAGTACCAAATCGTTCAAGATATCCTGAGTTCAACCCAGAGAAAGACATGAGTGATCCTCAATTCTGTCTACACCAAGTGTTCAGGGATTTTGACACATTTAAGGATGCCATCAAAAATTACTCCATCAACAGCAAACAGCCTCTCAAGTTCCAACATAGTGACAAGAAAAGAGTTCAGGTTGTTTGTCAAACAGGATGCCCTTGGAACATATGGGTAGCTCCAACAGACGACGGAAAGGCTGTTCAAATAAGGTCATGTTTTCTGCAGCATGAAGGTTGTATCATGGTGTTCAAGGACAAGGGCAAGGGCAGCCAAGCAAGCTTCCTGTTGTACCAAGACCACGTCCCAATGCAGAAAATGGAGGAAAAGAGTCAAAGGGGAAGGAGAATATGTGATGCAGCAATCTTATTGTTTTTCTGGTTTATTGTGGTCCAGCAACTTACCATGTGTGAGCTGGTTTTTTTGGTTTATGGTAGACCAGCAACTTACCATCTGTTATATGGTTCATTGTAAGCTGGTTTTTTGGTGACTGCAGTCCAGCAACTAATACATGCTAAGCTGGTTTTTTTGTTTGACTGTTGTCCAGCACCTCGAACTTAATGAGATTCATGAGCTGGTTTTTTTGTTATATGTTTCAATCGCATAAACTGTATTGTTGTCTAAATGTAGTTGCTTGATTGATGAATTGCACTTTGACATGGTTTCAAGACTTCCCACGAGAGCATTCATTGACAAATCAACAAATTTAATCACATTAGATGTGCTAGTTCCAAAATCCATTAAATGAAACAAAACTTGTTCCAAATCCATTACATCATCCTAAACAGAACTATGCATTTAATCATCTGCAGCATACATTAATACTTCCAAAACAATACATAATCCAGAACAAGAATCCATTACATGTTCCCACTACATTACATGTTTCCAGACAAGGAATTCATCACACTCCTTGCCAAAAGAACTCCAACCACAATTGTAGAACCTTTGATGATTTCTCTGACAAATGATTTGCGATTGTTCCGCTGCTCCACCTTTTGGATCCTCTTGTGTAATGCAAGACTAAGGCATTTAACATTATCCTCAAGTGGTGGATCGATCCAACGGAAATAGTTGCATGCGTTTGCACCTGCGTATCAAACAAGAGAAGAACAAAATCCCTAGATTGAAAATGAGGAAGTTCTGAAATATGTGCTGAATGTCAAATGAAATTCAAGATATATGTTTTCAGCGTACCCCATAATTGGGGCACCCAAAGAAGCGTCGTCCGGGGTTAGCATCGGTCCACGAGGTGCGCAGAACCGCCGGTACAGCGTAGCGGCACATTGGAGCTGTTGCCGCCATTTCCAACTTGGAGGAAGGGACGATAAAGAGAGAGATCCAGTACAGCTAACCTACGATTGGAGACTGGGAGAAGAAGGGGAAGTTTTGTGGAGGTGGGAAGTTTTGTGGAGGAAGATATCCAGTTCGTGAAGAACAAATTGTTTTGGGAAGAAGAGTTTTGATTCTGGTGAGTTCTTGGGAAGAAGAGTTTAATTAATTGGAGTCTTCATGAGTTCTTGGGCCAAGGGTTTGATGCGGCCCACTAGTGACTCAGCAAATTTGCTGATGTGTACTGCCCGAGTGGCATGGCGAATTACAACCCAGGTACCTACCGTTACTTTGGGAGACGGAACTGGTAACGGTGAAACCATAATGCGACTTAAATGCTTTAGTTGCAACGAAACTAATCATAATGGTTAACGTGCAACAATTATAAAAGTTAAATGGCACCGGTGCAATTAACCCTTATTAGTCTCTACTCTTTATCCAATGACCATCCTTGCCAATAATGTTTAACGGCTTAATCACCATCAGAAGATAATTTAAGTAAAATACTAAACCATGCCATACACCGAAAAGTCACCTCCCTGTGGAGCCACGTTCTTCCTCCATGAGAGTACAACAAATCAACCTGTCTCTTTCTCCACAAACCACCCATGGTCACATGCTCGATCTCAGAGTCTCAGTGTCTCCCGGCATCTCTTTCATCTTCATAATTGCAATCCTAGTTCCATAAATTTAAGCAGGCATTTGCATCCCCAGCCCAGGCAGCAATTATTAACTCCACCTCTCTCTCTGCAAATATTTGCTTTCCTTAATTTGGGCTGTTTTGGGCATCTCCGCCAACCCAGTTCTGCGATTTTGCTGTTAGATTCTCACAGGTGGAGCGGATCATCATTGCATCTGGTAGATCTTCCTTCCATGTGTTTTTAAGAGTAAAAAAGATTCAATCTTTTGGCTTTGTTTTACCGTCTTCCTCTTTTGCTGCTGGGGAACATGATTAAATCAGTGAGGAAACAAGTAGACAGATGCAGAAGGGCCTTTTCCTGTAGCTGGTGGTGGCACCATGGCTGAATCATCATCTTCTTCTTCTTCTGCTTGTAAGCTGCTCTGTTTCTTCTCACTTCTCAATCCCCTGCTTTTTCTGTGTTTGAAATGTTGTGTCGTGTTCTTATAGGATGCTTTTCAGTCCTCTGGAAGGATATTGAACGATCCTCTTAGTTATAGAAAAATGTCAGCATATGCCCACCAAATGGAGAGGGAGTTCTCTGCTGGTAGCCTATCTAGCGGAGAAGATTCTGGTAGAAAACCCACCCTTCTTCAAAGTGACATGGAAATTGATCACCATTTTCTATCTGCAAACATTATACAGATTCATGAGTTTTCTTGTTGTTGGGTGTTCTTGATCCAGAAGAGATGAGAAGCCGATATGTGATGGAGTCGGGATTCTACATGACATCATTCGCTGCAACGATGTTCATTGCTCTCCTTGTCACAGCAGGAGTGTTGATGATCAGCTTGCTCATTCTGCTGACAGTAATGCTCCAATCCTGTGAGAACAGGAGCAAAGGAGTTATGGAAGAGACGACGCCACAACAAATTCACACTGCTGGTTTTCTGATGAGTTACCATCAATGCAAGAGCTTTGCAGAGCTCAACAACCTGAAAACACCAGACTTACTGCCTCCAATGTGCTGGGATCATATTGCTGATTACCACAATCAGGTGGCTGCAGGTGGTGAATACGAGAGAGACCTGGCCGCTGGTCTCTGGGTTGTCGAGGGATACTTCGATGGAGTCAAACCTTCTGATGATAATGGTCTAGATGCTGCAGTGTTGATTGACATAGACAACAGCATTATCTTCAACTCCAAGTAAAACCCATCCTGATATCTGTCTTCAACCCTTGATTTAATATAAGCAAGAAGTAGGTTTATCTTTGATCTCAATTCATTCGATAAGGCGAAATGTCTTTTCCTTGTTTTCCAGACAGTTTCAGCAACAAGTGCTGCTTCTGAGAGTGTACAAGAAACTTCAAGCTAGTGGATGGTCGCTAGTTTTGATATCAAGAAATCAAGAGAAGGAACGAAATGCCACTGTGCAGCAACTCGTTTCTGCAGGATACGGAGGCTGGTCCTCACTGGTTCTGAGGTACGCTGACTACAGAATGTGTTTTTATCTCTATCAAACAATGTTCAGCATTTGAAAAAAATGTCTTCCTAGAATTTGAATTCTGATACTTAGCATGCACCTCTGGCTCGCGATCGGATGATGGATCATCCCTCATTTTTCCAGATCAGATGACGAAATGGAGCATTCTGCAATTGAATACTTTTCAAGAGAAAGAGTTTTGGTGGAGACGCGGGGCATTCGGGTAGCAGCAGTAATCAGCAGCCAGATGGATGCTCTTACTACAGGTCCTCCAAGTTCAGGAACGCGTGTCTTCAAGCTACCAAACCCAGAATACTACTACCATGACTACTTTAAAGATTTCAGGATCTCAACAAATCTGCCCAAAGAGACCATTTCACACAGTGTCTGATTCCCTATTAACAGCTTCCTAGCTTCGTTACCATTTACCAACGTGCATTGTGAATTGTTGTAGTTCCTAGCTTGAAAAATCTGTTGTAAATGAGAGAAATGCTGTATATATTTAATACGAAGAGAAGTTAATTGACAATGCAGTAACTGCTTGCTGATAAACACACAGATTGAGTCTAATGGTTAAGAGAACCAGCTGATCGCATCAGCCTCTTCAACCATGCAATCCAAATACTAGGGTTTTTCAACTCGAGGAATCATGAATATGTCCAATGCAAATAAATAGAGTTCACTTCTCTGCAGTCTGAGTGTTTAACAAACCTGCATCGTATTGCTGCATTATCAGTGAACTCCTTGATTCACCAGCTTTTTCTAGTTGGATCATCATGGTCGAGCCTTCTGCACTGAATAAGAGGTTCAGCACCATAGTTGTCGACAACTGCTGTTCCATCAACGAGTAGGTCTAATTTGTCAACAAACTGGAGTCCCTTCAGCCGAAACGGGGCAGTTCTGGGTATTCCTACAACAGAGAGCAAGCAATGACGATATTATTATCAACCAAGGACGCATGCCAAGGTGATTGATGCTACAAATGACAGACATGGATGTAGTAATTCAATTCCCTTGCAGTGGCTCCAAATTTTTTGGCAACTGGATCCCATTTCATGTAACCAGTGGTAACCAACTTAGACCAAATCCTCCACTGCTTATTCACAGAATCCCAATGGTTTTTGAACTGGACCGTGTTTAACATGACACCAGTTCTTGTGTAGAATGAATCAATAAGGTTTATCCATCCCTCTTTGGACAAATGAGATCCAGGTTTATTACCAACTGGAACTTGCTCCAAACACAGATCAATCGAAGTTTCGTAGGATTCCTCTGAAAAAGTCGAGGAGAAGTGCGGCTTTCCTAATCTAACTGAGATACTGCCAGACATGCTCTGCTCACTAGCTACAGTTTCTCTTCCATCGTTATAGTAACAACCAATACCAACCATTACCAGAAGCATCTTCAAAGAGGTTGCTGATTTTCACATCCTCAGAACATTATAGAGACAATTTCACTCCCATCTTCCAGGTTCATAAAATCAAAGACGATTTCGAGCTTGTCCCAATGCTGAAGCGTTATGAACCAAAATATTCCAGCTTCAGGGTGCTCTTACAGACATTCAATAGAGAAATGCTCACTAACTCAAAACAGCAACCAACCACTAACAGTAATACTAAACATACCCTCAAATACTTGCTCCAATCTGCAATTCTGCATCAGTTGCCCCAAATGACCCAGTTACAGGTTCCATTTCTTCATTCTAGTAGTAGCTAACTTGCACCAGATCTTCCAATGCTCCTTTGTGATATCCCAGTGGTTTGTCAACTGCTTCTTGTCAATATGCAACCCATCTATTCCGGTCATTGCCTGTTTAAGATATTGTCCCATCCATACTTGGTGAAACACGTAAAGGGTCTATTACCCTTCAAAGTCTGATCCAAACAAGCATCCGCGAATACTTTATGGACTGCAGGAGTCCAGTGTGCTTTTCATTCACCTTGGCTCACATCACATTACCACCAGTCCACCACTACTGTAATAAGTGATTCAATAACAGACGTCCAGCGGCAAACCAGGAAATGAAATGAGAAATGAAACAGCAGTAAGTGATTCACCCAAAGAAACTAGTTAAGACAGAATGCAACTTGAGCAAATCCTAGTTAGTTTCAAGCCACAACAACCAACATCGAACGCTATATGGTAACTGAGGACTTCGTAGAGGGTAATTGCAGAAAGCAGCCGTAGACCAACCTGCAAATACGATCCGGCGGAGCCCCATTTGAGCGAAGAACTCTGCTTTTGGCCACAGAGTTTTTAGTGTAATGATTCGCAAAGCAAGGCGAAGTACAAGCGCTGGCAAGTGGAAGATTGTTTTGAGGGCCCAAAACAAGCAGCCCACCTGCCCAGAAGCCCAATCCCCTCCAGGCTTATGAATCCACTAATCCAAACAGTTCTTATTCTTAATTAATTCAACTTGAGTTCATCATTATCATGATAATTTCTACTGTTCGACCATTTTATGTAAAATCACCATCTTCCGTAACCCAATTAATCTTGCATTATCACTAATTATCTGCTACTGAGAAATCGGAATTCAGGAAAAAGAAACGAATTCAGGGGAACAAATTCCAGTCGTCATTATTATTCCTCATCACAAAACTGTAGTTACAGAAGGGAATTCCTCAATCTGATTCCATCTCAAAACCAATGAACAGTTCAATCGAAATTGGAATCAAGCTATGACAACCACTATTCTCAGATCAATTAACAAAAATGCACTCCAACGAAGATCACCAAATCAAGCCCCCAATTGGATTTTAGGGTAGTTCAGACGCCATTGCTAGATCTACAGGAACAACAAATAGGAGAGCGCAATGGAGAATAGAAGAAGCAATCTCCCTGAAGCAATGGTACCGTTCTTAGAGGCAGAGGACAGGTCAAAGTGGTACTTCTTGCTCATGTTAGGGTACAGAATACCCCAATTGTGCGCCCCCTGCTGCTGCAGCTGCTGCTTCGGATCGGCTTCTTCAACCAGCTCGTAGATGTAGGCCTGCGCCACCCCTTCCTTCCTCAGCGGCGTTCCCTTGCCGGAGTTCAAGTGCGCGACCAACGACTTCAGGTACAGCTCCGCGTACGCCGGATTAGCGTCGGACTCGGCGTTGCCGTCTGCGGCAGAGCTCGGCCAGCCAGTCTCGACGACGACCAAGGGGATGCTCTCGTGGCCGGCGACCGCCAAGGAAGCGACGACGGAATCCACCATCATATCGAACAGATTGCGGTACCGGACTCCAGTCGCGAAGTCGTCGCGGAAATTGAAACTTCCTTCCTGAAACAGAGCCAAACCGAGCGGGATCTGGAAGTGGAGCCGGTACATGTTGTACGGATAGAGATTCACCAAGAAGGAAGAGTTGGTGTCTTCCAGGAACTGGAGCAGCGGCTTGATCACCGCCTCGCCGATCGGCTCCTTGAAAGTCGCCGCCGATGGAGGGAACGCCGTCGTGACGATGTTGATGAAGGAAAACGTCGTGGAGACGGAGATCGACCTGATTCCGATGTCCCTGAGCGCGAGGTGGACGTTGCGGATGGCAGGCAGCAGGAACGGGAGCTCGGAGGCGGCGACGGCGTCCTCGCCGACGGAGATGGCGGCGATCTTGGAGCGCGGATAGAAAGGGAGGACGTGGACGTGCAGCCAGTGGACCGCCAGAGTGCGATTGGAGGCCAGGGGAGCGAGGAGCGCGTTCGGAATTGAGAGGAGCAGGGAGGTGTTGGTGAAGGTGAATGCTCTGATGAGATTGGGATCCGGCTGCGGGAGGCGGACGGCGCCGAATCGGAGATCGCAGACGACGGCGGCGATGGCCTCCGGTCGCGCGCGCTGTGGCGGAGGTGGAGTCGGCAGCGAGGAGTTGCCGCCGGTTGAGGTCGGTGGCGGCGAGGTGAGAGGAGAGGTGTACGTGACGCCGATGACGGCGGCGGCGGTGGCGATCGGAGCGGAGAGGATGGAGGAAAGAGAGAGCAGGAGGAGGACGGAAAGCTTCAATAGAGCTTCCATGGCGGTTCTTTGGTGAATCTGTGTAGAGAGAGGGAGCGGAAATCGAGAGGGAGAGAGTTTGTTGTGAGCGATGGGATTCTGTTATGCGCAGTCGAGAGCGTGATTTTGAGCGTGATGTTAAGGCGGCGATGGGGGATGCTGACTCAGCGTCGCTGGAAGGGAATTGGGCGGGAAAAAGGAGAGGGGCGGGAGACCGGAGAGTGAGTTGGTTAGGGCCGGGTCGAGGCGATGGATGGATCGGGTCGGATCAGTCATGCTGTGGGTTTGCGAGGCGCGTTGGTAATTCATTTTGCTGGCCCAATAATAAAGCCCAACTCGAATATGGTGCATGTTGCCACTTCTGGCCCATAATGTTTGCTGGAGGATTTGTTTTCCCCTCGTTCTTTTCTTTTCCATCTTCTGTGTTTAGGAAAAAACTTCAATAGTTCAATTAGTTAGGTAAAACTTGTTTGGCTTTTTGTTTACTCAAATTGAAAAACAAACTACTTTCACGATTGCAAATAGTATAAAACTCAATAGGAAAATATTTAAAGTAAGTAAGTAACATGTCAGGGAATTATCAAATTCAACTGATCATCTGATTTTACTTAAGAAGACATTAATTTAAGTAATCATAACCTTTAAAAGTAGGACCAATTGCGTAAACAAACAAATTTTAACTACAAAATATCATCGATTTAAATGGTAAAGATGTGATTTTGAATTCATAAGGTTTTGGGTTCAAACTTTGGCAGTTACCATTTTTTGCATTACTTCCTTTGCAACCACTCACAGGACTATATATCCAACTTAATTACTTCTAGTGATATATCAAGTATTTACAGATATCGAAATTTGTCGTCTTTAATGGATTTCTCTCGTAACTAAAAAAAATATTACTGAGAAGTCCATGGTCGTGAATGAAGAGGTTATGCCGCCTCATGACCAAGACCGAATGATCCAAAATATTCTAAGTATGGGCGGTCCATGCTGCTTCACGGGAAGGGTCATAGACGCGAGACAATAGACTTAGGCATGACTGAAAAATATTATAAGTCTGAGAAGGCCATGCCGCCTCATGAGAGGGGCCATGTGCATGATCGAGAGGTCTCTGCCACCTCACGAGAGTGACCATGGACACGAATGAGAAGTGCGTGATGGTGGAGCATAATATCACTAGCGACTAAGTCCCAAGAGGGCCATGTACATGAGTAAGAAGTCCATGGCCATGAGACAAGAGGCTCACGTCCCCTTTGCGAGACACCACATGCTCATCAAATGACTAGCATGTCACGAGATCTAGAACAAGAGAATACGAGGCAAGACACACTCCAAGACTCACGATAGTTCCAAGAGAGGCACAAAGGCGGTTGAGGGAGTAACCACCATGTCCGAGGAAGCAAAGAGCGTTTCTTTTTGGGAGTTATCTAAGAGGCGATTTTCTATGACAGTTATCTCCCAATGGCTATAAATATGAGGAAGGGTCGACAAAGATAGGGGTTCCACAACCAAACAATTGACGCTTACATCAAACTTTATCCTTTTTCTCTGTAAGTAGCCATAGTCCTAGTTTGGAGCTCTCACTGATCCTCCATAGGTGATCGAGCTGTTGAAACAAAAGGAAATATGCATAACAGAACTGGGGGCCATTTTCTGGATATCCTGAAGGAGGTGGAGGAGCTGAAAGTTCTAGACTGGCTGTTTGCGTTTAGAGAGGCAAATAATGTAGCACATCTGTTAGCTCATTTTGTTTCTGTTTCTGAGGAAATTCGTTTTGAAAGTGATGGTCTACCACATATGGTACCTGATGTTGTAGCCTAATGAATCCCTTTTAGTGGTTTCTCAAAAACAGTGACTAGGTTTGAATTTGGCCAAGACACAATGGCATGGCGGGGACTTTGCCACCTACAGGAACAGAAGACAGGAATTGAGTTTCATCGGCAGGAACATGAGGGTTTATATCACAGAATGAAATCTGCTCAGCATGGGATTTGGCTGTTTGGGAAATCGAATGGTGCAGTAGGAGACGGGCTAGGGGGTTGGAGTGGGTTTGAGTTTTGGGTTTTTTGGATTAATGGGTATAACGGGTACCTGTAATACCCAAACGGGTATTAACGGGTAACCCGCGGGTACCCAAAGTGATACTTGATCCCAAGTCTCATCCTGTAAAAAAAAATGACGAGTATTTGGATACTTATAACCTTAAAAAAACGAGATGAAAACGGATATACCCAAATATCCGTTTCTCGTTGCTAACCCCACTTAGTGCTGGCCATTGTAGAAAATATGTCCACCATCCATAAACAAAAAGTAAACGATGTTTCTTTGGAATAGATTAGTTAGTTTGAGAATCCTTGGATGGAGATAAATCAGATATCGCGTAGTTATAAAACAGAGTGGGCTATTTTTGATATTTTTTCTGTTAATCATGTGCATATAAATTAAGGAATGAGGGAAATGGAAAGGAAAAGGGAAAAGGGAAACGGGAAAAGAGAAAGGGGGAAAACCAGAGAACGGAGTCGATAGTGGGGTGCCTCACCGCATTCCAGCGCAGAAGCAGATATTTCTTTCTTGTCTCTACCCTACTGTCTCTGTGCATCGTATTCGTATCATAATCATCTCTCTCTCTCTCACTATCCACTTCGCAGCATCCGCTCGCTGCAAAAAGCGCTCTTAAGAACCCCTCCTCCACTCCCTCTCTCCCTTTCCCCCTTTTCCCTCTGTTGACTCCCAGATCGCCAGGTTCTTCCTCCCGATCAAGGTATTGAGGATCTCCACTGATCTCTTATGATCGCTTAAAAAAGTTTCCTTTTTGTCGCGTGTTCAATGGAAGATATGATCTGGGTTTAGCTTAGATGATGGATTGGGTGGTTTGGGGTTATACATAGATGGATTCCAATGTTCGCGAGCTACAAAGCTAGTTTCTTTGTTTCGCATTTGAGCTGATGTATTGTGGTTGATGGATGGGTTGGCTTTAATTTGATCTGGGTTCGTTTGTCAATTTTTTTGTAGTGCGGTGAAGAGAAGAACAATCAGATCTATACATAAAGAGAGTTAGCCATGTCGTTCATTGGCACTCAGGACAAATGCAAGGCCTGCGAGAAAACTGTGTACCCAATGGAGCTTGTCTCTGCCGATGGCGTTCCTTACCATAAATCTTGCTTCAAATGCTATCACTGCAAAGGCACATTGAAGGTAGGTGATGGTACCCCTTACCTTCTCTTTTCCTTCTTTCCATTCTGCATTTCCCTTTTCTTACTGGCATTTTGTTTGTTTGCCTGTTTCGAGTCTCAAATAACCCGTTGATATAGCTTTAGATTAAAGAGGGGAGGAACTGGCTTTGGAATCTTATCTTAAAAGTTTTTTTGTTTCCTGGTCTAGGAGGTCACAGTTTATGGATTGCTTCCTTTCATGATGAACGAATTTTGTGCATCCCGTAGAAAGCAAGGTTCATTTAAAGACGATTTATAAGGGCTACATTTGTGAAACAAGGAAACATTTCATATAGATGGATTGCAGTTTGTAAAGTAGTAAATATTAACACGAAGGTTGTGTTAGTTTGCTTTTCTCGTGTAGTCTGATTTTCTTGTTTATGTTTCTTTTGCAGCTGGGGAATTATTCCTCTATGGAAGGGGTGCTCTATTGTAGGCCACACTTTGAGCAGCTCTTCAAGGAGAGTGGTAACTACAACAAGAACTTCCAATCACGTATGTCTCTACTGGTTCTCCTGTCTCTTTTTTTTTTTACAGCATATCACCTGTTGGTTCAATTCTCCGTGCATCCTGTTTGATTCAGCTTTTAAAAATCTATAACTCCCTTCTTTTACAGCTGCAAAGGCTGCTGATAAGTTAAGCCCGCAACTGGTAACAATCCCTCTGGTGCTATCAGCTATGTGTTTTTACCTTTTGATCTAGCTTTCCCCCCTCTAATCCTTATCATCTTACTTAATGGTTTCAGATGAAGTCCCCCAGCAAAGCTGCCGGCATGTTTTCAGGGACACAGGAAAAGTGTGCTACTTGTGGTAAAACTGCATATCCTCTCGAAAAGGTACATACTTTGATCCTTTTCTTAGGCAGTTGAGATATAGCTTTAGTGATCCTAACGTATGTAACCACAGTATTCGACCAAGTTTCATCTGTTGCCGGTTACTAATACTTCACATAGATCCCTTTCAAGCCAATACTATAGTATGTGAGAAGTACATGAGTGGAAGTTGTTATTTACATAAGGGGTTATTTGGATGTTTCACAACGCTGTGGATTGGAAAGACCAAGTTTGTAGTAACATAAGGTGGAAAATGGGCAGGTAACAGTGGAGAGTCAGGCATATCACAAGTCATGTTTCAAGTGCTCTCACGGGGGATGCTCCATCTCGCCCTCAAACTATGCTGCATTGGAAGGAGTACTGTACTGCAAGCATCATTTTTCCCAACTCTTCAAGGAGAAGGGCAGCTACAATCATGTCCTCAAATCCGGATCCATCAGGCGTTCAGCAGCAGCAGCCGCCGCCGCCGCAGCTGCTACTGCTTCTGTGCCAGAGCCAGAGTCCTAAAGGCATTCTCTATATCTAATCGGTGTGGCATTCTTGTGTATTTTTCCCCCCTCCCGGTGTGCTTTCCCATTTTCCTCACAAGGGAGCCGAGAAAAAAACTTGATTCGGTCCCTGCATTGTGTCTTTTTAACATGAGGGTTTCGTTCAGCTGACAGCTGCGTTGATCAATTTGTTTGTTGTGCATTGTGCTTTCGTGGGATGGGATGGGATGCAGTGTGTGCGTTGCAGAAGAAGCATTGTTATCTTGGCCCATTCTTTCCTGGCTATTGTAATCAAGTTAGCTGAGGAAGTGTGAATGATATTTGGTTCTCGAGACTACTTCCTGTTGAGTGATCTGTGATCTCTGTTGCGTTAATTTGGTCTCTCTTTTTCACGCACATCAAGTTAAACTAAATATGCTAAACTAAACCGTAAAACCCCATCAAAGAAAGAAATAAACAAAGTAAGGGCCACGCCGGCCTAACGAAGTCTAACGAACTGGCAACTACAACAACGATAACAATAACAGAGGAAGGAAATCATCAACAAATTAAACAAATCCAAGCTGGCTGGCTGGCTGGCTTGGGTTGACGACTAGCTAGCTAATTAATCGTGGTGCTCTGGCTGGATCGAAACTGAGGAGGAGGTCTTGTTCAGCTCGAGAATTCTTCTTTTGATGACTGGATCTCTATGTAAGCGGGTAAGTTCCCAAAACTTGCCCGTCCACATGAAGCGAATAATTGGATCACTCTGCACAATCAACGAGATGAAACAGCATCCCCAGATATACCGTCCACTCAGCCATTTTGCTGCCTCCCACTTGTCAACATTGTCGGGCAAGATCGCGATGCGGATGAGGCAGGCAACGAAGGGGATGAACAGAGCGGCGGTCCACGTCTTCCACGACACAATTGAGTCGTCTACGGTAAGAGTAAGCTTGGAGGAGGAGGAGGAGGATGGTGGCTCCAGCTCATGGATTCTGCGTTTGATAGCTGGATCCTCGAGTTCGTCTATTTTCCTGGCGATCTCTCGGATTATCATAATCTGCCGCCAACACATGCTGGCCGGGACACATACCGACCAGCAGCCGAGGGAGACGTATCTTGCCAAATAGTAGTACGGGTGCGACTCGTCGGGGAGCTCGTTTCGGATGATTTTGTCGGCGATGCAACTGACAGCCAAAGGGATTAGAGAGCGGACGAAGATCCACATGATCGCCATCAATATCTCCATAATGTAACGTATATTGCAGGAGCCGAGCAGTTCTGGGACAGGAATATGCATAGAGACGTTCTTTCTCTACTATATATATAGAATATATGATACAGAATTTTGTCCTTTTCTTTTTCGGAATTGAGGAGTACTACGTACGTACTTCTCTCCTACCCAAAATATATGATACAGAATTCTTTTCATTGTCCCTTTCTTTCTCGGAATGGTTTCCAAACTTGATTACTTCCCCGCCCTGGGTTAACTAAGACAACCGGCCTGGGTTAACTAAGACAACGGGTGATACGATATACAAGGTTATGGAAACCCGTTTATACCGTTGCGATCCGATTTAGCAGGTGAAATGGTTCGATCGGGGATGCAATCGCTTTGTGATGGTTCATCTCGGTTTAACAAAATATGTAGAAATGTGAAATTCCATTAACATCAGCTGAATTTTATCATGTATAAATCATCTTTGAAGACACTTTCACTTATAACTCATATCTAAATAAAATGCGACCTTTTCCCAATAAAATAACAAATATACAATATTTAGCCGCAATACCTAAAAATTTATACTTTAATCCAACAGATAATATCAATATTTAACTTTTAAACTCGTAAAATAAATTATAAATTAAATTTTTAATAATTAAAGTCACTAAAAACTACGTCATTTTGCTTAGAGATTGTAAATTGATCATGCCGGACATACGGTAATGTTTATAATCAACACTGGTTAAACCAGGTTATTCAACTGGCCCGAATGCCACCAAAATGACAATCATGCTCACATCTATGGTGATTGGATTTTTCAGATCAGTATTTGTGAGAAAACGTGATCTTGGAGACACGATACTTTCACATACGAAGAAAAAAAAAACGAGCAAGAAGTTTAGTTATTGGTTGGTAGAGTGTGTAGAGATGTAAGAGTGAATGGTCGTAATTCGTGAAGATCGATGATGGACTGATGACTCAATATTTGCACATGTTTTCCCCTTCGTTTCTTGATCGTTTGAGATTTAATTATCGCGTCTTTGGCCTATTTACGCTAGGTTGTGTTCCTTTGTCACATTTCAGGTCCTAGCACATAAAGTGAAGCATAGGCGCAAGTTTCAAGTCAATCAGAGATCAATTGGCGATTCGGGAGAAGAAACTCGGGCATGACCTGAAGAAGAATGGATTTCTACCTCAATTTATGGACAAAGAATCATGCAAGCTTGTCATGAAAATAAAGAGGACGAGACTACAAGCGTCTGGGATCAAACGGCGATTGATTCGGAGTCCGGACAAGGGAGAAACGAAGCATTGAATATAGGGGCACAAGTTCGTCAGTAAAAACACGGGCGCGCCTAAATCAAAACACGGCCGTGCCCAGATTTAGGCACGACCGTGTTTTGGCCGACGCGCGCGGGCGTGTTTTTAACCCGGGGCAAAGCACGGGCGGGCTGGAGCAAAGCACGGCCGTGCCCTCGACCGTGTTTTGCCCAGTGATGCCCTTTTAGGCAGATTTCAGCCAAAACAGAAGGGGATTCGAGTTTTAGAGAGACAGAGCGATTCCTAGAGAGAGAAAGCGACGAACAAGAGTTCCCAAGTGCCCTAGTTTGATCTTCATCACCATTGGAGCTTGGCTTGAGCTTGGAGGAGTGCCGATCAACGTCCAGAAGCAGAAATCCATCCTTCACAGTATGATTTCCGCGTCTGATTCTGCTTTTGCTTCTTTCTCCATGGAGTAGTTCTCCCATTCATCTGGGTATGGAGAACCCTAGATTTGTATGTTAGGTTTGATTGTATGAACCCAAGTACTGATTCTATGATTTGATTATATTCAATTGAGGTTTGAATGATTGAATGGCTTGAATCCTGATCAAATTCCTGTTGTTTCTGCTTTAACCTAGAATGAGAATATCTGCCTAGGTTGATAGAGCATCCTTGATTGAAGGTAGGGAGTTGGTGACTTTAGTCGAGGAGCCAACTCACTATTCTGTACCGAATTCACTTCGGTAGTGGAGGTTTTGTTCGTTAGGGCCTCAATCTGTTTACTCCGGTGGAGGTTACTCGCCGGCTAGAGACTCAGATTGAGAGGGTCTGGAGACCTTTAGTCGAGACTTCAGACTGCTTAAGAACCTTCCGCAGTATAACTATCATAGAAACTGAACTTGGTAATTGCAATCCGGCTTAACTGCATTCTAGGGGGAACCATATCCGGGTGACCTCTCTTAACCTGAAAACAACCGTTTAGTTGCTTTGCTTGTTTGTTAGTTTAGACTTGCACTAAAGTTTCATTGCTAGATAACAAGAATTCACCAAGTAGTCATCGAATCTAGGACCCGTGTTGACATTAAAACCCAAACCCGCTATACTACGCTTTAGGAAGTGGTTACACTTGGCCAATTCCTAGAGTGACAGTAGGAGTGAGTCATGGACTCTATTGCCTATCGGAACATATATATTGCAAGAAATGAAAAACCTGGATGAGATAGATGTTGATAGATGATTGTTGTCATGTTCACTTTCTTAATCATCTCTTTTGATATTTATCAATAATCAAATAAATAACATACATAATTGGTGTAATTTATCAATGTGTCTTCATATCGTCGCGGTGAAAAACTTCTGCCGTCCTAATAACGGATTCTTCCGACGGAGGGGGACACTGTAAGTCTGTAACCCTCCCAACAAGCACTTCGTCGCTGGTGAAATATCAAATTGAGGGGAAGAGGAAGAAAGTGGGGAGGAAGGAAGGAGGTGAACGATCGAAAAAGGGATAGTGGAGATTTGTTTTCGATTTTAGAGATATAATTTGTGTGGGTTGGTCAGTTCAAAGATCGGGTCTGGTCTGGTTAGAGGGCTGGGTTGGTCTAAATGACAATGCAGGTCTTAGTGTCGTAGCGGGTCGGGCCTCACTATTTTTTGGGTTAAATAGGGCTGATTAGACAATTCTGTCCGCCACTTCATCACTTAACGTACTCTCTTAACAGAGATGAACGACGACTAACGGAGAGTGACCAAACGTGAACGGTTTCACTAAACTAAGGGACCCGATGTATTTAAATATTTTGAGTGACCAAACATGAAAGTTTTTGTAATCTCAGTGACCAATATGCAATTAACTCATCTAAGCCTTCAAAAATCTTTTTTTGGAGCTACCCAATAAACTTCTCCAATTGCATTTGGCCCATGCTCACTTGAAAACCCACCTACCAATTCATTAAGGGCTCGTTTGGAGAATTGGAGTCTAAATCTATAGATTATAGACAATTCAAATATTTTAACTCTCTGAATTGTTGAAAAAAGATTTGAAATTTTTTCGTTGTTTGGTAACTAAGATTGTTAACATCCAATGAATAAAAAATCTATTTTTTATTAAATGATATGTTCATCCTTAACCAAAATAATTAGATTGGCTCGAAAAATATTGAGAATTTATTGGTAAGGGTATGTAGTGGGATAAATGGAAAAAAAGATATAGTATGAGAGAGAAAATCTTCAAAATCAAAATGTAAAATCTCTCTAATTATGAGAGATTTGATATCTCTAGATTTCAGAGATTTAAAATCTCTAAAACTACAATCCGTAATACAAAATGTAACAAAAAAAACATTTCGCTAGTTAGGTGGATTCAATAAATCCACGATCGAAATCTTGTTATCGACCCCTAAACTCATTTTCCTCCAAGCCCACCTTCCTTGAAACAGAACTCATGTTGGCTCTTTCCCTCTTTGTAGACGCATCCTACTTTCTTCTAGTCTCGGCCCATGACAATTGACAATATAAGAGAGATTTAATCTGACAGCCCAACTGAGGCTAACTTTCTCCTTGCCAATGCAGTTAAAAGGGTGATTCTACCTAGAAAAGGAAAATAGGTAAAATTGTAAAACGTAGAATCAAAGCGTAAAATCGTAAGTTTTTTACGCACCCTCTAAAATAGCTAAAATATGTTAAGTACAACATATAGCATGTAAAATGTGAGTGTGTAGATTTTATATAAGTGAATAACTACATGAAATTCATAATTGAAATGTAATATCTAACACATAAACTAATTTGTGTTGACTCAAAAGTAAAGAAAACTCATAACATCTTAATAATAAGCTCATAAGCGTAAATCGTAACCCGTAAACGAGCTAGAGAATCCAAATTCTCATAAGCTGGTTTGAGTTTATATAATTACATACGATCAATTACCCATAAACTTTTTATCGTAACCCAGGTAAGAGCCACAAGTGAAGATTAAGGGAGAAGGCTGATAGAAGGTCAGCGGCTGTTGACAATACCATTATGTGTCTTTTCAACCTAATATGAAGCCACTATCTCGACACTAGTTGTAGAACGAGTGATGAATCATGTTTTCCTTTTTTTATTTTTTGCTGATATGTCTAAAAAATTACATCAGTTTGGGCCAATTAGCACACTTTTATGAGTTGATCAAAATCGTATAAAACGCTTGAGAATCACGATTTTACCGATTTTAAGCGATTTTACCGATTTTACCCATGTTTTTACCAGTTTTTGTGACTATGCGAATTTAGATAGAAACTGAAACGTTTTGGTGGCCTAGATACGTAAAAACGTAAGTTTTTATGTTTTAACGCGTGATTTTGACTGCACTGCTCCTTGCTTCAGCCCATTCGACTGATTTTCCGTCAGCCTACCACCCAGCCCTCTTGTGGCCCACTCCATACTTAGTTGCGGCCCGAGGCCCATCCAACCACGACCGGCCTCCTTCAGTCCTTCAAGTTCACTGGCCCAACTGACTCGACCCAACAACATATCATGCTGTCCTGGTGCGCCCTACGGTTGGTGACTGTACATGGGCGCTGGGCCGTGCTTGGGCCGGCACGGCACGGGCACGCTTCAGGCCCATTTATTTCGTGCCGTGAATGCCCATTTATTAACTTTGCTAGGTCCGGCCCAAGCCCGAGCCCGGTTGGAATTGTGTCGTGCCTATTCGTGCTCGTGCCGTGCTTGTATTCGTATCTAATGAAAAGGAAAAGAATGAAAAAGAATGTGAAAATTGGATGAAAAAAGATAGTATTAACCGAGAATGTTTGAAAAAAGTAACAAATAAGGGGAAAAAGAAAATTGGAAGTATAGCGGGTGTGATTTGGCTTTGTTCAGAATCGACTAAGATGCTGATTTCTTTCACATCTCTGGCTGAAGCAGCAGGTATCGTCGGGTAGCGGCACAAGATCGATGACGGGAGCTTCGGGGATGACGACCTTTTCCAAACAAAATAACAAATATACAATATTTAGCCGCAATACCTAAACATTTATACTTTAATTCATCAGATAACATCAACATTTAATTTTTAAACTCGTAAAATAAATTATAAATTAATTTTTAGTTTCCGTTTTGACCCATATTGGGCAAAACACGAAGAGAGTGCAAAGGTGGTGGACGAGGCGTGGAAGGATTCGGAGGTTCTGGGAGTGATGTGGAAGATAAATAATTGCCGAGAAAAACTTGATGGATGGAGCACCAAAACGTTTCCAAATTTTGCATTGTGGAATATGAAAATACAAAGAGCATTGAGAAAGCTTGAAAGAATGCACCACTTGCCTACGACCCTGGAGCAAAGGTGGAAACTAGAGGAAGAATTGGCCAAACTTGAAGATGACAAAGAGAGCTATTGGAAGCAGCACTCGAGATCAGACTGGCTCAAGGACGGCAAAAAAAATACCCCGCCGCCAACGGAATACCGTACGTAAACTGAGGGATGCTTCGGGAAAGTGGTACGTGGGTCTCGACTAACTGTTTGATTGCTTTTAATATCTATTTTGGAGAGCTCTTTTTGGCATGGGAGCAACCGAGCTCTAATCCGGTCATGGACGCTATTCCGATGACAGTGACCTAGGCGGACAACGATAACCTGACAAGGGCGGTGGAAAAGGAGGAGGTCTATAGTGCGTTGAAGCAGATGGGAAGGAGGAAGAAACCCAGTCCAGACGGACTTTCAGTTGCTTTCTTCAGGTCATATTGAGACATAGTAGGAGAAGATATTAGCCGCACAGGGAAGGAAATAATTGAGAAGATGGAGATGCCCTCAGAATTGAACAAATCCCTAAAGGGCTAAATTGCAAGTTCGGTCACTAGAATTACTAGTAAAGTTCACACGCCACTAAGATTTTTTTTTTTTTTGTTACAAAAGATAATAATATATTGATTCAACGAATAGATAGTTTCATCCTGGAATTCAGCCAGGTCTGGAAATCAAAGAAACAACTCATAGTCGGGTACAATGAAAGGGCCTTTCTAGCCACAGTATGGGCTACCCTATTGCTACGCTGACCTACAAATTGAACTCTAAACCCATAATGGATGTTAAAATAATGCACGATTTCTTCAAGAACAGCACCCATCCGGTTATCTCTTGTGTCGGCCCGATTGATTTTTTCGATGATCACTTTGACATCGCCTTCGAATCTGATTTCCGCGAAAGTATGAATGATATATTTGCCTTCACAATTATTAAACTTATTTATTTGTAGAAAATAAACAAGTATTGGAATTTGAACCAATGTATCTTCTAAAAAAGACAAAAATCATAAGCCTGATTGTCGACCCAAGTTTGATATGGTTGGGCGAATCAGTTTTGCCCAAACCCGAGTATTTGTTAAAATGTTGGAGGCCCAGTTGGTTATCAACCCAAACTTGGTCAAACTAAGAAAAACAGTTGATTCAACTGACTCATCTAAGCACTGAGTCACTTTAAACCGACATCAGTTTCAACAAATCTAATCACTATCTCTATTGACATGTCGTCCTTTTCCTTATCAAAGACCCATGTAGCAACATACATCAACCACCCGTGTTTGGTTATCCCATAATATATTTTCCTCCTTTAGTATCTGCAGGCAACAACACAAGTGCTAATCATCTCAAAAGCCAACACGGTTCCTCAGTAGTCAATTCCATTTTCCTTCCAGCAGCAAGGTCACATCGCCAATCAACCACATCTCAAACAAAGAATAAGCCACAAGATTAGACGAACATATATTTGGATTGAAACGAGAAAATACTTTTCTCATTCCAGTCTTATATATTGTATTGTGTTTAGACGTAGACATATGTCATTGCCCTAGAAATTCATTAACATGTAAAAAAATGGTGAAATGAACCAATAATTAAGCTCATTCTCGTACAATGATCATTGGATCTAATCATGCCAGATTAGAAACATGTTGAAAGCTTAGCAGTTGACCCGGCTATAACGTTAAAAAAACCAGTCTCATATAGTTTGCATAAAGATATGATTTCTTCATAGTTAATTCTAAAAATTAATACTAATTTAAAATTTTGACATTGCTTCGACCTATTTAATACTCTAATTTTATATGCAATATTCAACCAAGTGATATATGGGTTGCAATTTTAAAGTTATTCTCTATTTATAATATACATTGAAATATAAAT